ATTTTCAGCAAATAACGTCGCCATTAATGCTTTCTTTATGTTATATTCGAATGATTTATGGAAAACCTATGATATTTTTTCCCTTTAGACTCACTCAGTTTTAAATTATGCACTTGTAAGATTTGCCTACAGAAGAAGAAATTGCTGCAAAACTTCTGCAGGAATAAAATATATTGCCGCTAACTCGCTTAAAATTAACAATTGCTTTATAACCATTCTTAAAGAGGACGTCACAAAACTTCCAAAAAAAAAAAAAAAAAAAAAAAAAAAAAAAAAAATTCGCTCGTAAATTTATGGAATGATTTTCGAGATAGATGCCTAATTAAATTATAAATTATATGTGTATATGAATAATATGCATGTATGTATTTTTTCCAATTATAAGCCATCGTTCTATTTCATCTGAAAAAAATCTCCAAAATCAAGGTGATTCTAGGTACCTTTTACACGTAATAACAATATGTATGCTAAGTATATGATAATATTCAACAATAATCCCTGCAACTATTCATTCACTACTTTTACTAAAATTTAGAATAGCAAAACCTCAGGTAGCTCTGAAATAGATGTTCGCAAATAAGACGGAATCTGCTAAAGTCGGGAACGCACGCAGTTCATGAATGAAAGTGCTTTGGTGTAGAAACAACAGGTTTGTGGACTTCAGTATCGATTCTGTAGCTACAGGTTGGTCATTTCATATCATGGTTTTGCATTAATATTCTGTATAAACTCATTTCAAATTAATATTAATATTAGTACGTATAGTTAAAAAATATTTCATAATATCATGATACTTTTTAATGATTTAAAAAGTATCAAGAATGATTACTAATTTAAAATATACACGAGCCAACAAATCACTTGCAACGTATTTTTAGAAAGTGTTACGACTTTCATTATCACCTGACGAAAATTTGAAGTTGATTTTCTTTTATCTTTTGCAAATAAATTCGGTTTTAATGAAGAAAGAGCTTTTCTTTGGCGATTTCCCGAAATGGTGAATGTTATTCAACATGCAATAAATTTTGTTTTCGCAATGAAATTTCTGCTACAAATACGTCCCGAAAAAGTATTTGGGAAAAATGCTTTTTCAAAAGCAGAAGTTTCTGAATGGTTAAGACATTTAAGGAAGACAGAGACTGTGTCGAAGATGAGCCATACTCTGATGACCATCTTTTTCGATTAATGAAAAACACATCGATCAAGTCAGAAATTTAGTGCTTAGCGATTGCATTTTAATAATTACGGATATTATTTCTATATCACTTGAAGTAATATTGAAAGATTGTTTAGGCTTGCGGTGCATAATTTCTCGAGTTATTTCGAAAACGGTGAATTTTGTCTAAAACAATGATTTATTCGAGTTGTCAAGATGCTTTCTCAAAACGAGTCTTTTAAAATGCATAAAACATGCATTCTTCCGATACAAAAAAGAGCTCAATTATAGTCTGTTACAACTATAATAACTATAAATGTCTGTGTTGTTTCAGATAAGAACTCCAAGGTTATTTTCTGCCGTCCACATTGCCTCATAATCATGAGTATAACAGTTGCAACCAACGATTTGATTCGCCTAATTTTTTTCTCTCCGCTTCATGAAAAAGCATGTGAATAAAAGCTTACCTGAAAGGCAGTCTTCAACTTCAGCTTACAAACATAACGCCAGAACTATTATATAAATGTGTAATTTTGCCGGCTCGTTGATAATTAAGCCCTAAGGCGCATGACAGTAAGATTTTCCTGGCGTGGTAATCTTACTAAAGAGGAAAAAAGGAGGTGGCCATGAAGCCCGGAATCAGAGATGAATACATTAGGATCTGATTGGGCTGCTGAGGTGGACGCGACAATGCCAATTGCAGCACGGATGAAGTTAACAATTTATAATGCAAATTAGAACTACAGTCTCAAATGCGATGGTGAAAATAAATGCTGTGTGGTGATGACGTCACGCAATATGATCACAAATAGGAAGGATTGGCTACAGCCTTGGAATGCATGTATTCAAATAACAGACTATAATATGAGAAGAGTGAGCAAAAGATAAAGCAAGTACCCTTCCCCCCCCCAAAAAAAAAACATCAAATTCGGTCCAAAATTACGGCAAGGCAATGTTGATTAGTTTCTTCGATTATCATTTTTTTTAGCATTGTATCATGAATACCAATCTATTAACAAAGAATATTATGTGAATGTATTACGGCGTTTGCGTGCACCAATTCATGAAAAAGACCTGAACTGTAACAAGGTAACTCAATATTCTGCACCAAGATAATATAACTCACGACGTATTCAGAAATTATGGACAAAAAATATGATTCTGAAAGCTTCGTATTCACCCAACAAGGCATCATGCGACTTTATTTCCATGGTTAAAATTGTCACTTTGTAATCACTAATTTTAATTTATTGATACAATAAAAAGAAAATTTGTTGCGAATGATGAACCAGTTTTATATAATGCATTGCAGTCGGATGGGTTGCTTTGAAGAGAATATAATACATAACGACCAATAACCTTAAATCTTGTGTTTTATGGATCATTTCCAATTACATTGAATACAATAATTTTTGATGAAACCTACGAAATTGTTGATTCACATTATCATTCACAAGTGTTCATTTTTTAAAAAAAATTTATTTACAGGCAGACAGCAGTAACAATAATGATTAAATGTACTCTGGAAAAGGGGTTATTCCCAAAATGAACACTTTTCAATATTAAGACAAAGAATTTTTTATCGATTATCACAATTTAAGCATAATCCAGAGCTATTTAAACACATCTGGGCGGGGTTTCAGAGCAATTAATAGCTCTACAGACAGTGAAACAAGTTTAAATTCTGTAATGAGAGTGTTCCAAAAATAATTGCAAAATTGTAAATAAGTAGAAAAAGTGATAAATTTGTATATTAAAATTTAAAATGTCTATATGTTGAAACTAATGCTCCAGTTTTAATTAATTTAATTAAGTTTTTAATTAATATCTCCCACTCCACAAAAAACAATCAAAAATCTAAACTAGACAAAGAAAATTTTTCAAAAGATCCAAGAAAACAATAACTCTTATCATAACCTCTGTCTTGAGCATAAGAGATTATGCTCAAAAATGTTTATAAGAGATGAATAAAGGGCAGCTGGCAAAACTGTACAAATTGGTGCCAAGTGAAGCCCACAAAAACTGAAGAAAAGGAGCTTATATGGACACATATCAAATTATATTACCTTCCATGCCAGAAGCTCTTGCTCTCATTATTAATGTAAGTTATGCACCTAAGAAGGGAATTGGAGGAATGGTGAAGTGGCAAATATGCATTCATCTTACAGCAATACAATATGAAAAAAAAATTTTTAACTCGAAATATTTTTTATATAGACAATGAAACTCCAATTCTTCTACAACTTATTTCAGACTACACCACTAAAGTTAAATTCTGTAAATAACTTTGTGATGATTCAGTCAAAAAAAGAAAGAAAAAAAAGAGAGCAGAAACTATTCAGTTTTGAACATAGGACCATTTCCTTTTGAAATTTCAAATTTCTGAGCACACTGTCAGACTATCATTATGCAAAAACAGATAACTTCAAAATCTACTATTTAAGCACTTGCGCTACAATTAAACTTCACAGTTGCGGTGCCATGCGCTACAATATAACAAGCGGGTAAAGTGTCTCATTTGGCCGCTCCGCGTCTGCGAGTGCAATCCAAGCTGTAACTCGAGAAATAAACAATCTCGTTGTTAGGCGACGTGTGCACCACGTTATTTTCATTTTTGCAATAAATGCCTATCAATGTGCTGTTCACGTCACTCGCGGTTCGAGACAAAAGCATCTTGACGTGCGTGGCACGTCTTTTTTAGCGCAAGTGGTTAATGCACTTAAATTACAAACCAAGTTACAGGGATAATATGAAAAGTTTGTGCACAGCAGCCATGTTGTAAGAACACATTACACTTCAACACTCTATTAATAGTTTCCTCATACAATGTACTTACCCTCTCTTGTGTCTGCTGAAGAAAAAAAGTCAATAGTGACATAAACAATGTGACCTAGTGAACACAAATACTGAACATGATGTTGATTTCATTAGATCGAGTTAATTTTAAATTTTGTCCAGAAACTTATAATGTTTCCACAAAACACGTTCTAATATAACCTATCTGAAGAATGCATTTCCAAGACCAAGATTTATTTGAAGACCCAAAATGTTACTCCAGATGCAATGTTATTGAAAATATTTGTCCCACCATTCAGAAGGAAAGCATAAGTTCCTGAGAAATGATTCAGTGACAACAGATTTTGGTACTTACCAGATAATGGATAGTATTATGAACAAATTTTCTATCAAAATAGTCAAGATCCAACATGAAATTAATTATTACAATCATTAAATAATTGTAAGTGCATTGTCACATTTCATAACCTATCAGTAATTGTTATTTCAAAAGGAAATCTGTTTGCAAGTGCTGTCTATTAAACACTGGATTTATGATTGGTACCCAAATTATGCTATGCATTGAAATAAGTAACCTAATAATACAAACAAATATTCTTAGAAACATAATGAGAATTGCTTGTGTTATCTAGAATTTGTTATCAAATCTGATAGTAGCTCTAAAGAAGTGCAGTTAATAATGAAACATTCACAAATAATGGTCAATAAATATCTCTGCTGTTTCAGATCTTATTAAGAAAACTAGATAGCACCCTTAGTTTAACTAATGCTAACTATGCATTTCATTTTGAAAACTAATGTTAAATTTCTTAATTTAAAAAATGATCATTTTTATGATTGCTTAAATAAAAACTAAGACTTTATAAAAAATTAATAATAGAAGTTTGCTAGAATTTATATAGCATTTATTTTTTATTCTTAGCATTTATTTTTTTCATGCCTGGATATAGATATGCAATATGCAAACATCATACATGGAAGAGGAAGAAAACATGTGTTTAAAAAACTTGAAATAAAGAATATAAATGAAATGAAAAACACATGAAAATATTTGTCAAATGGAATTTTATTAACTTTTTACAGAAAACTGCAAACATAGTTTTACCTTCATTTAAAGTCAAAACTCCAGCAGTTTTTTTATACCACATTAAACATACTTTATACACCATGATGAGTTTCATTTAGTTTGGTTATGAAACAAAAGTTGAGACCATATTTTCAGCCACATGAATATAAATAAAAGCACAATTAAAGGCTTATATTTCCGAAAATACTATACTCAAATTACAAATAGATTAAATTCACAGATACTCAATGATATCACCCTCAGGAATTGTTCTTGAAACACTAGTTTAGTTCATCCAATGGTATGATACCAGATACAATTTAAAGAATAAGTATACCCAGATTAAAAACACAAATGCATAAATTTTACATATGCCTTTGACATTCAAATCTCATTCAACTTGTATGCAATTACTGATGAAATTTGCAATTTGTTATTCATGGCATCACTTTAATCCCTATTAATTATTTAAATGAAAGATTCAAATAAATAAATAAGAATTCTAATTACCAAAATGAGGAATAAAATTATCATAAAACTGAAATTCATTATTTTTGAGTTTTTTGCCTCAGATTCCCAACTCTTCGAAAACTTACCTATCATACAAATCGTGGTATTTATCCTTCCTCTAGCAACTCTGAAGAGATTTATTGGAAAAAAAAAAAAAAAAAAAAAAAAAAAAAAAAAAAAAAGAAGCACACTGCAAACATATTGCAGTACCAAATGAAAATTTCAAAAATATGCATGCAAAAAGTTAAATAGAGTGCTGTAATGTAGATGTAACTATTTTTATTCTCTTCAGTTTTCTTATTTGATACTCAGCTTTATCAAAAATTCTTTAATTAAATATTTTAATTCAGTGTTCTGAATTTCAATAAGTTGCATATTCAAATATTAGTTTGGCAATTTCATATTTAACCTAGCCTAAATTTTTATCAGTTTAATTTCAGCAACATGAGCAGAACATATAAACTTAGCATTAAGCCAAATTATAATAATAACAAACATTCCAATAGCAACAATATTTTAATTTCGTTAAAACAAATTGATATCCTATAACACATACACATGTATGCAGAAGCTTAAGAACAAATCAAGGTTTATTAATAAAACAACATAGCAATAATACTTAATAAAATCACATACAATAGTTTACTTTAAATATATATTTCTTTAAAGATATATATATTCCTGAGGGTGGTTTTTTTCAGTCCATGCATATAAAGCTAATTTGTAATTCAAAAGAAAATTTAGATGCATTCATCAAAAATTCTATAAATCATAATTTTAAAATAGTTGGGAAATTCATTAAGAAAAAAGCCTAAGTGATCAAGATGTTAAAGCATTTCCAAAAATTAAACCATGAAAAAAAACTTATGGGTTTGAAATAACACATACAGAATTATTCCAGAGAAAAAGAAAATATGGGCAAAATGCTCCTGAAGACACTACTTTTGAAGCTAGTATTATGTATGAAGTAATGTATACTTAATATATCCAGACAGACAAATGAATTCAATACTTTCACCTCTAATGACATTTAATACATTTAATTTAAAACATTAAACAGCATTATTATGACGATTTAATGAGCATTTAAAATATTCTATAACAATTCATTTGGTTAAAAGTGGTACGAACAGAAGGATCATAAGGGTCTTTCATAACTTTTCCTAATAAAAGGCTACAGACTTTTTTATGTAAAATTTAATTCAGAAATCATACAATTTAAATAATAATGAAATAATTTAAAACTTGATAAATAGAAAGAAAATACCATGCTTGTGCTGATTTACAAACTCTAATATTTAGTATTTATACCATTTACATATATTTATAATACTGAAGTCGTACTTATTTTTGACTGAAACATCTATCTAAACAGGAATTAAATAATTTTTTATATTTTAACTATGAAACCAGAAATATAAACCTTTACCTTTTTCAAAATTACTATGCCAAATAAATTACAGCTAACAGCAAGAGACTGCATGAAAAAATAAGAAAATGAAAGTTTAAAAAAAAGACAACTATCTAATGAAACCAGCTGCCAATGCATAAATAAAAAAGAAACTTTGGAACAACCTTATTTCAAATCATAACCAAACCAACCAAACAAGACTAAAATTAAAAAACAACACAAATACATAAATTGCATTGATAACAAGTAAGTTGCATTGATAATTGCATGTAGTAATCATTGTACTTAACATGAACTACAAGTGATCAAAATTTTCAATGAAGTAGTGTTTTGGCAATAAATTAATTAAATTCAATATTACAACAACATAAAGTAGCAAGCAGGGCATACTTTCTTGCATTGATTTAATCACAATGGACAAGTACCTCAATAAAACATTAATGCTATCCAATATATTTTGAAGTAAAACAATACACAGAAAATTAAAATGAATTTACTTTGGATTTTGCTTAAATTTCACATTAACTATATTTAGTAAAATTAGATATTTGTTCATACAAAATGCTAATAAGTTAAAAGATGAAAAACATGAACAAAAACTTTTTGGTCTGCAGTAACATGAACATTTCAGAGTTTTAAAAGGCATAAATGCATAAAAACCGCATTATAAATAGGGGAAGAGTGGTCCATTTTATTACTTCACAGCATTAATAATTTAACAGCATCTGAGTAGTAAATCACTTCAACAAAAAAATAAGACTTGACACAAAAAAAAAAAAACTATAGGCAAATTTAAAATAACTCATTTAAAATTCTTGAATTGCATCATTTTTCTCACATTTTTAAAATTTAAGACTAGCAAACCAACGATGATCACAGATAATTCTGAGAATCACTACTCTAATTGTGCCAATAAATGGATACCAAATTTTATTCAAACCTTGACAAAACATAATGCTTTAATACAATAAGATACATAATAATTTTATTCCCAATAACAGTTCTTATATTTTTCTTAAATCTAAAATTTATTATATATGGGTAGCAAAGTCCCATATATATTTACAGTTTGTAAAAACAAAGCGCTTATTTAATTTGCTTAAATATTCACAATATTGCATTCTTGAGAGATTTGGAGGCACATAATGGTAAAAAAGCAACATTTGGCAAATAAAATGCCAATAAAAATTCAATGACATCAAAAAGTTTGCTTCATTCTTCAAGCCTTTTGATCAAAAAGAGTTTTCATGTCCATTAAAGCCTGTTCAATATGTCTTCTGAAACGTTCTGAATCCTAAAATATATTAATATTTGCATTGTTTTATTCTTTAATATGGAATAGGAATAGAAATTGCATAAAATTTGGATCAAAAACTTTTAAAACATCAGATATAAGAAAAGAATTCATCATACTGTGTGAATTTATATACTAGCCTATTAAAAAATATATAAAAGAGCTCTAAAATTTCACTTAATGGACATTCAAGTATTCTTTTCTGTTCATGACAAAAATACTGATTTTTCAAGCTTTAATAACAGATTATCCAAGTCAAATCAAATTTTCAACAACATACTGATGTAGTTTCTACCATTACATATTGCATGAACAGAAATAAAAAATTTTTTAAAAAAATTTTAAAACAGAGGTATTTTAAGTTCTTGTAAAAGATACAATGCTAGATAGAATGTTCTTTTCATATCTTCTAAATGAAAAATCATAGATCTCTGCCCCCTCCCCGAAGGAAGATATATGCATAATTTCATTGTCCACAAATTCTTTTACTCCAGTGATGATTTCTGTGCATTCTACACTAACCTCCTGTTTTTTCCTTAATTAGATATTTTTTTAAGGAGACTTAAAGCAGTTTTTGGCCTTTCATTTCAAATTTCATAAAATTGCAATATATGTATACATATTTATATTCTACAGATCAGAAATTGAAAAATTAATTATCAAAGTCACACATTATGTTTCAAAATTAATTGAAAAACAAATAATAAAATGAATGCGAGTCTAAAAAAACAGGTTTCCCCCTCTAGTTTTCACCAGGAAATCAAAGAGCAATGGGAGAAACAGGACAGCGGTAGTAAGAGACTGTTACACCAAAAGGTATTGTTCAACCATGATCAAGCAGATGATGCTGTTATACTGCATGCACAAAGATGAGCCTCTCCTCTGAGCCTGGTCGCGGTAGATATGGAGAGAAGGTGCGTCTTGAATCCATAGTTAGAGGAGGAAGTGAGAATGGTTGTCTGCTTGAGAGCAGAAATCCACAACCACCTCATGGATGGGCCAGATGTGTGCTGAGATGGTGCCGCAAATTCAGTGAGGAATGTCAGCAAGTGCTGGACAGACCGACACCTGCATGGATATGCACAGCCACTACACACGAAAATATCAAGATGGATGACATAATTAAAGCAAACAGGCATATCACCATCAATGTAGTAGTGGGAAAACTTGAAATCGGACATGCACAAGATCACAAGATCATCCACAGCATTCTTTGGTATTTGAAAGTGTCAGCACGACGGGTGCTCCAACAACAGACTTGGAACCACATGGAATAATGCACGGCAGTCAGCCTGAAACATCTCATGTGTTACCATCATGATGGCAATGAATTTCTGTTTCGGATTTTTACGGGGAATGGCCATCATCTATGGAGTGGAAATATCTGTCATCACTTGTCTGAAAGAAGTTCAAAACAACTCCCACTGCAGGTAAAGTGCTCCTTACTGCTTTCTGGAATGCCCAGGGAGTTTTGTTGCTGGACTTTTTGGAGGTTGGAATGATCAGTGCTGTGGGGTACTGTCACACCCTGTCGAAACTGAAACAGGCTATTCGGAAAATGCAGCCAGGCCTTCTCAGATCTAATGTTCTGTTGTTGGATGACTATGCAAGATTATACTCGGCAATGGCAACCCAAAACCATATTGAAATGCTTGGTTGGGAGTGCCCTGACTATTCACCACGCAGTCCTTATCTCGCACCCCATAACTTCCATCTGTTTCTATATCTGAGTAGAATCTTGGTGGAACGCACTTTGGAAGTAATGCTGACGTCACACAAGCCGTTCAACTCTTCTTCCGTATGCAGAGCCCTGATTTTTTTCCTCGAGAGCTTTTTGAAGCTTATAAAGTGGTATGAAAAATGTCTCAAAGTACTTGGTAAGTATGTAGAAAAATAAAGTAACATCTTAAATGTCTCATATTTTTTGTCTTTCATACACACCTCTGTCCACTGTCGCAAGAGAAAATTTATTTTTGGACTCTCCCTTGTATAATTAAATTATTCAAAAATGGCAAACTTACTAATATTTAAAATCAAAACTGAACAAAAACAGAACAACAGAACAAAAATAGAAAATTATATAACTACTTGTTCCTCTTGAATACCTGATGCATAAACCACACTTAACTCAAGCCTAGCAGATGCAAATTTAATTGAATTATGTATATTTAAATATTGCTATGAATTTTGTATACATGTAAATAATTTTGTGAAATTATATGTAAACTGTAGTACCTCTTGTAAAATAGCATTCAAAGTGTCAAAATGGGAAGCATCACTGGAAAAATAAGAATACACAGGTAAGCTTATTTAACAGTTAGGTAAATTGCTATCTCAGCAAACTGCCAATTAGCAACATAGGGCCAAGCTGACAATAATTTTGCAAACTAATATTTGTCGCCAAATTTAATGAGAAATCGCCAAGCTTGGCGCCAATTTCGTCTGATCCTTGCGTACTGTAACTGGCTGTATATAACTGTAACTATATATTGCTTTCAGCAATTTCGAGAAATTGAAAGTACAGGAAATTTCTCTGGTGGAAGGGGGAAAACTATATCAGAGAGAGCATCAGTGTTACGTTTAGCTCAGAATACTGAGAGATCATCATATGTGCTTTTGCTTTTAGGTGCACTCTGCATTGCCTAGTGTGCAACGTTACTAGTAGTTTGAAGTGATAACTACTGACTGTGTTCTGTCATACTGAGAAGAGCTGTACGAGTACTTTTGTGTGAAAAGTTCCAGAACTGTGTATTAATTGGAACTTAAATGGAAAATACTTTCATCAAGCTTTCATCAGTACTGTGCACATTCAATCCATTATGAACACACACACACACATAAAATTTTCAGTGTCAGAAGAGGGGACTGAATGCCAGTGATAAGAGCGATAGAGCAGCAACTAAGAGAGCTTGTGACAGGCTTTGCTGTATTCTAAGAAAAGTTGGAAGAGGCTGTCAAATATGTTCAAGTAGAGATGAAAGTGGACTAAGAAAAGATGGAAAAGGTGCACCTTTTTCGGCCTTTTCCTTCTTTGTTTTTTATTGAATTTGTCTCCTGATATCGTAAACAAAACTTTCGGACTCTAGATGTAGTCACTGAACCACCCACCTGTCTTGCAATTTCAGCATAGGAAAGACCACTTTCTCATAACACAATAATATTACATCTCTTTCTAGGTGTCCAATCTACTCTTTTATTTGATGTCATTGCTTCTTGACTAAATATTAAAATTTTTTACAAAAATTCCTACTTGTAATTGCAGTGTATAAGAAACAGGTCCTCCTTCTACAGAACAAAGCAAATAATGAATTGTTTCAAGTGTAAACATGATGTCAGCTTCTACTGGCAGTTACTAACATTTGATTGGTTCTCAGAACAAGAACAGTAATTGGCCAGGAAAGCTAGACATTACAAACCACTTCATAACTGTGTTTTTTATTTATATTAAAGTACGTATAACTTTTTTTGTATTGCAAATAATTGAATTATGTGTTTTGTATTGAATTCAGTAATAAATTCTCTTTAAAATGATATATACAAGTTTGCATTTTGCGAAACGTAACATTTTCTATAAGCATAGAAAGTTCAAAAATAAAAAAATTTCCAAAAGTGTCCACAATTTTGGCTACCACTGTTAATTATTTGGAATAGATAAAACTCAAAGGACACCTTTACATCCACAATAAGCTGGTTTGGTAGACATGTTTAATCGATTCATCCTTAATAACCTCTCATTGACCAACAGGATTGGGACCAGAAGTTACTTCTGTTCTACTGCAGTGCTGTCCACAAGACTATCAGCTATTCCTCATCTCAGATGTTCTTCGGTCATGAACTTTGTTAGCCTTGTGATCTGCTGTTTCATCACTCTCTGGATGTGCCTTCTTCACTTTAGAAGTATATTAAGGATGGTTTAAGATGGTACATTAAGGATTACATGGTTTGAAAAAATGCACAGTTCTGCACAAGAGCGAGTCAACTTGCCAACAGAAGATGAAGAGCTGATGTGACACCAGAGCTACAGGACATTGATTCAATGAAAATGGCACGGTGTGGTTATGTCAGATTCAACGGAAGATACTTTCGCCTATATAAAATCATCCTGGGACAGTTCTTACACAGTTCTAAACAGGCAGAACAACATCACAGTTCCGATCCATAAATCATCATTTTTAAGCCAAAAGTATGGTAGGCTAGTCCCTTACTATGGCCACAGTAAGTAGTTCCCATTGTGTATAAAATAACAGTTCACTAAGACCACGGTTTTATTGTTCACATAAATTTGTACATTTATGTATTGATTTAGTATTTTATTAGCTGTATGTTATTTTTTGAAATTATTTTAATATTGCCTTTAGTATTCAGTTACTGATTTTTCCTTAGCTCTAAGCATGGCTTCTTGTCCATGGATTATACTGTCTGGGACATGCAGTCCTTGAGAAGGGGACAATGTTATGAACTTTGTATACATGTACATAATTTCAGCGAAATTGCATGTAAATTGTAGTATTTCTTGTATAAGTACTATGAAACTGTATGTGACATAATATCACTCTGATTTGTGAATAGGCAAAATAACCGTTAATAAATTGGAAAACTGATAAGCTGTTAGCCAATTCTCGATAAAACACAAAAATACTTCAAAAAATTTTAAGAATTTTCAAAATTTTCAAATAGAAGTTAAAATACTAGTACATGGATTCTATTCAATTCCACCAGCAGAACTTGATTACCTTAAAACAACCAATTACCTTCAATGACGACATAAAAGCTGTCTTATTCCATTTAAGCACAAAATATCAACACTTTTAAATGCAGAAACATGCACCCTCGAAACATTCAAGAAACAAACGACTATAAACAAAGAATGTTTAAATACATGAAAAATTTTAATGCTTTATCAGCATGTTTTACCTGCTGTATTTGAAGGCAGTAGGCAAACTGAAAGACATGAAAATCATAATGCTACATACTATGCACACTGAAAAAAGGAAGATAACGGAGACCTAACTGTCACATTTATCTTCATGTAACTTTACATATGTGGCTTCAGCATATGTGCTACTTACACATAATTTCACACTTGTTTATTGCTTAAATATATAAAAAATCAGGAATGACATTAAAAAAAATCTGAAAGGTTTCAGATTTTAAATTACGTCCAAAGAGGCATTTTTTTAACATTTTGTGTGTTACCTTTATTTATCCTTACACTTAAACCATAAAATTCAGTTCAATAGCAATGCCGGAAAATAATTTGAAAATGAGCATACCTTTAGAATTTCGGATACACATCGCACTGAAGATAAAAAGGTCCCCCCCATAGAGTGTTGCCATCGCTCGCTTTTAAATCGTTGAGTTTGTTAATCAAAAATTTGTTAAAGTTTTACAAAATATGAAATCTATGATAAAACAAATTCCAAATTTCAAATTTGATCTTCCACATGCCCATATTTGTAGGAGGATTTTGTCATTTAAAATTCGATGGCTCTATGTACCGTTGTTTTATCACAATGCAAGAAATATACATACATTTATGCAGATTTTTCATTATTTCATTTCTTCAAACATAATGCAGGACTCTAACATTTGGTGGCAACAATTTGAAAAGTGAAACAAACATTCAGAGTGATGCAATGCAAAATCACAAAACGAAAACAATAGTCCTGAAGGGACAAAGCCCCTTTGTACTAAAATTAAAGAGAACATACTGTTTCTGGAGATGATACTTTGCTTGATATATGGAAGAATATTATATCTTCTCCTGCTATTATGTAAGAAACCCCATATCCATCATCAGCAACCTATTATTAAAAAATAAAACATCATTTCACTTATGTCAATGATCATACTGTTAATTAATGGCATAGCAATTCTATCACATTGCATGAAATTAAATTCATATATTAAGCAAAAATATTATTAGGAAACAGAAAAGTGTAATTCGCACAATGTAACTGATGTACTCTGTATTTTAATTATACAGAAAATAACCACAAGGTCACCTAGCTTACAGGATGAGATAGTGTTATAAGTGAAAACTCATTAGATTTAGATTGAAAAAAAAAATTAAGAATAAATATTTTTAAAAAAGTTCAGAGTTACAGTTAATTTATTTTTAACATTAATTATTATAAACAGTTAATTTATTTTTATGGTATTTCCATAGAAAAATATATATTATATATATAAGCAATAGAATATAGTAGTTGTTTCAATATCGAAGAAAGAAACCTATCATTAATAATGTTTAAATGTTGGCAGTTATCACCAAAAAGGAAACCACGTTTCCCAATTGAAGCACAGTTTTAGTGAATAGTCAAGAAATGCCACTATTTTAACTCATCCTCTTCAGTTAGACATACTTTTTTTAATAATGAAGAAGAGCAAAAAAATAATGGGCTGGCTGCATAGGTTTTTTGTGGTTTTCCCCCATGTGTAACATGGATACAACCCAGTGTTCCTTAGGAAGTCTTCCATGAAGGCATCTCTCACCTTAGGCAGATAGCCCTTGTGTGCTTTGCCATATTTAAATAAACCATAGCCAAAACAATCCAAACTAAAAAACATCTTTTACAACTGACACTTCCCTTCATTGGCCTTGCTACTGATGAATCTTTGGAAGTTTTGTGGTCTTGTTGACTGAATTTCACTGCTGACCTTTGAGAAACTGTATAAATTTTAAGTCTCGGCAAACTTTCAGCCTTTTATTGTATTATGTAGTGTAATCAATATTTAATATGAATTTAGACAATGAAACTACTTTTTAATAAACAGTTTATTCACAGGGCTGCAATTTTTCAGGATTTCAGATTTAGTGAATTATAATGCAGAATTGATAACTTCCCATTGCATTTATTATTATAAATTGTTAAAATAACCAAATAGCCAAATGCTGATAATTTATTACAATATAGATGTCAAGAGCTACCTGCTTGTTCACTAAGGATTTTAATGGAACTGCAAATAACTTTTATGACACACAGAGTACAGTAAAATTCCTGCATACTTTGGGACCAATGATTGTGCTGATAACAGAATTTTGTGGATTATAGATAATGTCTTTTTGTTTTGTTTACATTTCCCCCTTTAGTTTTATACATTAAATATGCTCATAACTAACTTGTTTGCTCATAATTAACAACTAAAATAGACTTAAACTTTAAAAATTATAAATCATATTTATTAAATGTAAAGCTATACTTTTCTACATATTTATATACAAAAAACGCTGACCTTAAGTATTATATGAACAGTATAGCACCATTTTCTCAACATTTCTCGGCTGTCCTGTCTTTTTAATAAAAATGAACATTTTGCTCCCTTTTTAATAAAAGTTATACATAGCCCTCATAGGAAACTGTAAATTTCTATTTATAAGTACTAACCGTAACATAATTTTTAAATGTTATTCAAAATTAAAGTTTTCAGCTCAATTTTTTATTATTGATTTTAGATTTTCTTCCTAAAATTATTTAACCTAAACATCTTAAACAACGGTGCAAACAATTTAAAATGATTGTTAAAAATACAGATAAAATATTCAGGAAAAAAGGGGTTAATTATATCTAAAAATAATTGCAAAAAATTGAATAACCTAATCCGAGGTTGTTGTCTGCCGACTGCCAGAAAACAGAAATTAAAAACACTACCTGCCATATCAAAAGCACGCCAAACAGCTTAAGCTATCACTCTTCAAGAGCGGCAAGAGTATAAGTTACGTGGTACATGTTGGAGAGTGCCTAGCAGACGAATTCCCTGTGGGTGAGCCGTCTACCTGTTATATGAAGTCGTTGGTGTGAACAGCTGTCATGAAATATGGGTCAGCTCTTAACAAGATTACATTTTTACCTTGGTTATGTTAATGAAGAACAAAAAAAAAAAAAAAAATCTGTATATTTCTTATTCTTTTTTAACTTTTGCCCTTTTCATGCAATGCTAGATGGATAATTTGCATAGCTTGGGATCAAAGATTGTGTGAATTAGAGAATTTTGTGGATTATAAGTCATGTTTTCTTGAATCTTGCTAACATTTCTCTCTTTCAGCTCAAAACATTAAATATAGAAGGTCTGCATTAAATAACTAATTAAAAGATATTTTATACCATAAGAGCTATTTAGTGAGGATTTGTCCAATACAAAACTTAAAATATATGTATAAAAATAACATGAATTATAATGGTTTTATGATTTTATTTATTCAACCACTGGTGAACTGAACAATCGCTAGAAATTTAATCTAAAAATGTAAGAAATGAAATTAAAAACTCTTACTGTTAATAAGTAAATAAGTAGTAATATTGATCAGTAAATGTCTGTAATCACTATTTTCTGACGAAGGCATTTTGCATATATTTAATAGTTTAAACATGAATAATTTGCATGAATTTGCCCTTTTATTCAAGAAACAGGAATTGTCAACATGCCTGGCTGATTAAATTTAAATCACTGATATTTTAAAGTTATTCAAACAGTAGCACAGCTCTGATGGCTTTAAACTAAAATGTACAATATGTTTAGTATTATATACGTAAGTTCTTTATTAGCTTGAATACAGCAATATAAAGCACAGTTCAGTTAGAATATATAAATCATGATAAATATTAATGCACAGCATGTAAATTCAATCACAAAATTTGAGAGGTGCTTACAGGTCCAAAACCACCACCAGCTGATATATGATCAGGATTTTTCCTTAAATCCATCAAATCAGTCTGCCCATGAGGAGTCTAGAACAAAAATTATTAAATAAAATTTAATAAAATTTTCATCATCTCTGGATATAATTTTGATTCTAAAGGAATACGATATACCTTTAAAACTAACACATATAAATTAAAATTACTAACAATACTTGTAATAATACCTCGCATATTAATTCTACACTTTAAAATGCTGAAACAAACTTCCATTAACTAAGCCATGTCAAATAATACAGAATCAGAAAAATAATTACAATTTTATTCATATTATCTCAGAAAAGTAAACGCCAGAATACACTAATGTACCTTTAAGGGAAAGTATACATTTATTATCCTTCTAAAATTTCAGATATTCGTTAATTAGCTATTTCTATAAATCACATGACATTTCAATCAGTTGCAATTAACATGTCCTATATCTCATTACAAAAAATAAAGCAATGGAACACCTATTTTTGCATTAAACACATATGAAATGCATCCATAAAGTCTAAAAACAAGTATTTTTTAATTTGCTGTAGAAGTGAAATGTGTTTTAAGTGAACATAGTTTTGTTCCACCCAACTAAAGAAATAACTCCGATGAATTTTGTTACATAAAATCACATAAAAATTAGTTATGTGTAATTCACAGTTTCTGAATTTTTTACTAAAGCATAGAATTCATAATGCATTTTTCTTTAGATAATACAGAGCTAAGTAAATGGTATTATGGTTTCAATAGATTTTAAAGAGAAATTTATACAAATTGCTACTCTTCAAAATATTGCCATTTTAGATAGAAGCTGAAATTAAATACAGCATCTTCACAATAAATTAGCAGTCCTTTTCAATTTATATCGCTATTTTTACGAACTTCTCATGAAAACTAATTTTTTCGGTGTCTTTTACATTAGACATTTAGATTTTGATACAGAATTTTGATTTGTATCTAATACAATAAATTACTCACCAATGCATACATAATCTATGAATTAAAATTTCAAAATGTTGATCTCCATAAAATCTTTTTAATTTTTTAATACTATCATTTTCTTCTGCATGATTTTGAAGAAAGGAACTTTACATTACATTAATATTAAGTTATGTAAAGGCAAATAGTCAATACAAAATATATAAATAAAATAATTATATAATTAGCATAAATAAAAATTAAATCATGTTTCAGTTGTTCTTCAACCTAACGCATAGCTACTTATGCTATGTGTATAAAATTCTTGCACCTCCAAAAACTAATCAGTTTTTTTAAACCATAAAATTTTTGCATTACAAAACAAAGATCACCTGCTATACCTGACTGGTTGAGAGTCTCCAGGGTTCACTCAGAACTTCATCCAAAAATGGCGATTCTACATTGAGGTACCGAGCTACTACATATAAGCAGAACAAGTGACGATCAATGCCTTTACCACACATTGCATCTTGATAACCCTTCTGATGACGATCACAGGCTATACGAAGTAATCTTATTCTCTCTTCATTCTATAATTTAAAAAAATCCCCCACTAAAATACTTTTAATTTTACTATACAAACAAACAAAACAGTACAAACAATATTTAAATTTCTTACTCTTTAGTCAAATGAAGATGTTCATACTCCCTTCTTTAGCATTAAAAAAAAAAAAAAAAACTCTTCAATCAAAAATAATGATAATAACTTGGTTGCTATTCCCTTCTGTTAACTACTAAATTACACTGTAAGCACCTTGTTTTTTGGGGGGGAGGGCGCTTCGTGCCCTAAATGGATAGTTCTGACATTAAAAGTCACTAACTATTTATGGAACCAGGTGAAATACCTATGTGTTAGACACTTGGCTGATGGTTGGGTTGCAGTATCATTCTGTGTTGATTTTAACAATATTAAGGAGAGGTTTCAAATTTGCAGCTGCTCAGAATTTAAGAGAATTGGGACTTTCATGCAACCTAGTTTACAACTGCATAGGGATTCAGACTGTATGGCTAAGTAACAGAACTTACATAACATTATTTACAACTTTCAAACAAAAGTTTTCCTCCTCCTTTTTTTATGAAGCTCATCTACATTTTATGTACACTATCTAGTGGTCAAACTAAGGAGGTATTAAAATGTTCCCTTAATGAATTCCTCTATTTGAAAGTTAAATTTAAAAGACTGAAATTTATTAAACTTTTGTCACTTATTGCTAGTTATATAATATGGCAAACACAATTTCTTTGTATCAAGCAAAAGACTATCATTAACCTCCCCTCCTCCCTCCAGTTTGCAGGTATGTGACTTAAGCTTTAGATTTTACTATCTAGATTTAATATTGTCTATTTTTAATGAACCTTTTATGTAATAATGAAATCCACAAATAGATATTTGAATTATAACATAAAATAAGATATGAAATCATTATTCTCTGAAGTAACAATTATGACTAGGAATGCAAAAGATATCAAATTAGCTGCATACTGAATATTGTATTCTGCACTGGCAATAACATGAAATCTTCAATTAATAATATGAAATCATTATTCTCAGCAGTAACAGTCACAACTAGGGATGCACTGTGTATCAGATTGGCTGGATACGTATTATTAGTGCAATTTAAGCCATATATTTGGTTATCCAGCTGTTAGATGTGAATTTCATTTTAATCAAATTAAATGGAAAATAATGCTGAAATTTATGAGTAGCACTTTTACACTTTTAACACGTTTACTGAATATATCACATTTTAATAAATGTTTGTACACAATGGTAAAAGTATAAATGAGAAAATACTGAATGTACTTTCTCATTTATACTTTGTAGAATATAGAAATGCATTTAAATTTTAAATTAAAAATGTAGAGATGCATTTAAATTTTAATTACAAATAAATAATAATTATGCGCACCAAGCTACATGGGGGAATTCATTTCAGTCACATAATAAATTTTAATTCAAAAGAACTCAGAGGAAACTTCTGCATAGTCTAGATACTTTTTATTGTAAAGGTATAAAAACTGCTTAAAATTATACTGAAATTCAAAAGCAGCATTTTTACAGCTACAGTGCACTGAATGTATTATCTATACCTATATACACTATACGGCACATTCCTTAGCTTTTCAGGGCACTTAGGAAATGGTAATAATTAACTCGTTCACATGGATCATTTTCAGAAATAGACCATCGAAATGAGTAACTTCACGTGCTATTTTAATAGTACAGTAGTATCTCCCAATATGGGACACCCACCAGGCCAGACATTTTGTTCTTTAAATAGAAGTATCCTTTATATGCCTAATTCAAAAAGACACGGATCAACAGAATTGTCCCTTAAATAGAGTTATCTCTTACAGGAGGTACTACTGTATTTATATTTAGCCTTTTTACTACTACTAACACTAAAAATAAATCCTCAAAGTACTATGAGTTTTTTAATGTACGAATCACAAAAGACATAGCAAATGGAATTATAAAATAGTATAATAATTAATAAGTATTTGAATGAACACATTTTAGTAACAACATGAAGAATAACAGTGAATACTCTCATATACTACCCATATATGACTGCCTTTGATAATGAGCAGTATTTGTGATAACACACATCAATATTGGCACTAAATGTCAACTCTCTAAAATGACTGTCTCTATGAAACATAAAATCACCTAGTACCACTGATAGTTACCTTGTCAAGATTTTAATTAAAGTTCAGATGTAGTACCTAAAAATATTTTGTCCTTTTTAATGAAATACGTCTAGTTAAAATTCTTTATGATCTTTTAGGAAATGAAAGATCATAATCAACAGAATCAAAAATCATAAAATTATGAATATGGAAATAAATAGCTAAAATAGAAATATATAGCTAAATTTAATAAGACCTATAAACTCTTCTGGGACTGTCTTACCTAAGCATCCTATGCTTTAAATGTACAGGATGTGTAAACATAACCAATTAATTTTTATTCCATAATTAAATACCTTTCAAACTAAGCTATGGGAAGAGAAATTATTCAAATAGTAGAAAATGAATACAGTTAATTACCTTAATTTACCTAACACTTTAAGAAACACATGGTACTTCTCTGCTATAACGGCCACCAACCATATTTGGTGATTTTAGATTTGCACCAAGATATCAGCTATAATTTTGCCAAGGTTGTGAAGCGCGAATGTAAAAATAAACAAGACAATATATAATATTTTTGAGAGTCCTTATTATTATTTTATCGCATGTAATTGTTCCAGTCAACTGCAGCACTTTCATACATATTAAGTGGTTTGTTACACCATATTATGGATGTCAAATCTTCTACCCATGAACACATAAATCTGATAGCAGTGACAAGTGTTTCTGGAACCACTGAACCAATTTCCAACATGGAGGCCCTTATTCTTTTTGCAGTTTTTAATACTGCACCTGCAAATAGTTTCAGCATTAACAAAAAGTTTCATTTTGTGGCTGTTTTCAACTCATTTGTCAGGTAAATGACCTCTTACTTGAAAAAATGATATGGCATCAACCTCATTACTTGGCAAATTAAAGACAGTTAATGTCATATTAACAAAAGAAGCAATGAATATATTTTTAAATAAACAATGCAAATTAGAAACCTCCTCAAAAATTAATAATACAGAACACACAGCGAAAGCAAAAATGCAACACAGTGCTAATAAACAATTAAGTGGCAAGGTATAAGAACATGTACTTGGTGCTAATATACGATCACGTAATAAAATTTTGCCAAAAATTGCTGAACAGAATTTGTATACAATAATTTACAATTATTCCATAATTTTAATAATTAATCTACAATTTCATAATTGATACAAACCCGCTAAAAAAACTTTTTTTCATAAAATAATGTTTTATAAAATTTATAATCTTTGACTTGGGAAGGGAAGGAGATTTTAAAATATTTTGCAATAATATTTTAAATACAAATTTAAATAACTAAAAGCATTAAGGGTAAATCAAGAATTTGCTTGATGAATAATTATGCTTAACCTAAAAATTAATGAAAGCTAAGTAAAGCTAGAAAATAAATTTTAAAAAGTCATGCCTGGGACATTTTAAGTCAAACAACTCAAAATTATAAATATTTTTCACAATACAACAACAATTTACAAAAAAGAAAGCACTAAAATATAATCCACTCACTGTAGCATTAGGATTTATCATTGATTTCACCCATGCACAAGACTCTGTAGTGACAGGTCTTACTGTTTCTGTTCGACCTTCACGGAACAAGCGAGTCATTGAAGCTTCATAAGTAAGGCTGAATTTTCGAGAATCCTAGAAAATATAGAACAGCACAGATAAATAAGTGACAAGCAGTCTTTTCTAAAATAAATCAAACAGCTTTCATGGGATACAACTCACATTCTATCTCAAACAGATGAATAGTATAGAACCATTAAATAATATTTTCAGAGCAACTGTTATTATTATACCACTGATAAAATGATTAATACGGAAATCAATCATATCCGATATGCAACAATGTTCCTGACCTTAACTAATTAGAATATTTACAATTTATCTGTACATCCTGCTGAAGAATAAGAGTTGGAAATATAATTGATACTATTAAAAGAAAATGATTTAAAAGTATTATATTTATTACTGTGGGTTGGAAGAATATGAGGTTGTGAACTGGTTCATTCAGCAATTAAAAAAACAAAATACAAATCTAATATCACTAAAAAAGATTTAGATGCCAGCTCAGGCATCACAAATGGAAGCACTAGATGAAAAATGGAAGTTGCCAACATATTCTTGTAATAATATTTATGTCTGAAATACAAAAATAAAATAATTGATTAAAATATTTGCTTCATTAATATTTTTATGTGACTATTAAAAAGTTACATATGTGAATGACATAATGCTTCTGTTGAACAATCCTAATATTTGCAATTTTGTTCACACTTTAAATTTTTTAAAGTTTTATTACAACCATTCTGGCAATAAATCTGAAAAATAAATACTCTTCCTTGTCAGGCCCACCACCACAGCCAGTGCAACCAATGCAGCTGCACTGAGCAGCAAAATTTTTTTAATCCATAGAGGAATGACAGATGACAGTATTTAGAAGCTGTGGGGACAGTACTGAAAGGCAAAAGGCCTAGTGATTAGTTTTAGTGTCAGCCCTATTTTCAGTTCATAACAATATTTATACACAGTAAATTAAAATCTCTTCTTTTATCAAATTCTAGTTCCAAATTTTAATTCTGGCTTAATTATCTTATTTAAAATCAGCAATACTCTTATTTTTTGTGGTTCTATGGGACTAAACATCTGTTATGGTTTAACATGTAGAGTAGCAGTTTTCAACTTTAAGGAGTTATCAAATGTAATGCACAGTCTTCTATGCAACCCCATTCTGAATAATATAAGAATCACATTAATTTCTTGTTTTTAAACAGTTACAGGTTTTGCTTACATTTCAATCAATAAGAATTCTTTCAAGATTCTTTTTTGCTTCTAATATATGTTTTAAGTATTTCTTGTTAAGATATATATACAATAAAAATATAGATAAGAGGGAAAACTGGAAAAACTATCTTACTCTATAATAAGCAAGTTGAAAAGCCATTTGTATATAAGCATCAGGACTAACACGGCACTTTTTAATAAACCCTTTGCCATATGCATCATGCATTAATAACCTGAGGTCTACATCATCAATAGCAGTTTGAGCTGACTGCATGCAATTTTCTACTACTTCTATAGCCTGGAAAGAAAAAATAATCAATAAAATTCGGTACCTTAAAAAAGTATATCAGAATAGAATATTACTGATGAGCAACTTGATTTTCAAAATTTAATGCATGAGATATTTTAGTTTATCTAATTAACAACAAAACAATTTATTTCAATGTAAAAAACTACAAGACTATTGAACCATTCCAAAATTTCTACAGTTTTTCAAATTGAAATATATTCTCTTACTGCTGATAAAGAATGACCTTTATTGAAGCAATTGACCTTGACCTTGATTAAACGGCCTTTCTCCTGCTGCATAACTCTAGCATAAGTTGAGATAATTTTTGTTTCGGCATGCTGCTAAGAATAGGCAAATTCAAAAGTTCATTTTCATATTACAGTATTTTATTTTTAAAACAGGAAAATATGCTATCAGACTGCTCTTTAAATTTGAGCTGTATATGGATAGAGAGCTGTTTTTAATGACACAGTTATAAGGTGGCTGGTTTAAGTAAGGAAATTTCAGCCTCAAAGATGAAGCTAGGTCTGGATGATCGTCATCTGTAAACAAGGACTCATTAGAAGAAGCTACTGCTGAAAAGTGATGTTATACAGTTTAGGAACTATTAGAGAGACTAAATATTTCAAAAAATAATGCATATGATAATTTGAATAAGAGTGAGTACATAAGCCACTATAATACATGGATACCATATAGAGTAGAATATACTTAATCGACTTTGGCACATGCTGAAAAGAAATGCAGAAGTTCTTTTTTTAAAATGGCTCTTCACTGGACATGAGAAATGGATACTATACAATACTCCCACCTGGAAAAAAAACCTTGTGGTATGGCAAGTGAACCTTTTTTTACTGACATATCTAAAAAAAAATAATGCTTAAAAAAGTAATGCTTTGTACATGTTGGACTACAAAAAAACTGCATGTTATAAAAAAAACTCAGACAATAAATTCAGAAAACTACATTCTCAACTGGCAGTTTTAAATGCAGAAATTGAAGCAAAGTGCACAGAATCCTGGAGGTATCTTTCATCATGACAATCTTTCAGCTCCAAATTTCAGTAGATGTCAAAGGCTTATTTTGCATATAGCTGGAATGAATATAGTTCATCCTTCTCCCAATATTCATCTGCCCTATTCCCCTCTGTTTTTTTTTTTTTTTTTTTTTTTTTTTTTTTTTTGTTTTTTTTTTCTCTTTTTTTTTTTTTTTTTTTTTTTTTTTTTTTTTTTTTTTTTTTTCTCTTCAGGTCATTTTAAAACTTTCTGAAGGGCCCGGAGAGCACTTTTTTGGAGACTCAAATTTTGATAATTTCTTTATGGCTAAAACCAATAATTTTGCTTTAAAAAAGCATTTTCCAGCTACTGGAAAAATGGCAAAATGTCATAGAATAAAACGGTGCTTATGTGATTCAAAGAAATTTCCTCATGTTTTTCTGTTGCTTCATTTTTATTTATTATCAAAAAATCTGCAGAGCTTTTCAGATTACCCAATAATTTTGAAAAGTTCTTACTTCATTAGAGAAATCCCATTTCAAATGACTTGGTGGGAATAAGTTATTTTTGGATTCCCCAACACAATTTCCATCAGCATCATACCTAAAATAAAAGTACAAGTCATCATAGCAGTAGAAGTAAATGATATTGATATTTGACAACACAAAAGCAGATAAATTATTTAATCTAGGAACTGGAACTTACCAGTTAGAATTGAATTCTTGTGCTAAACAGAACTCCCAAGCATGTGACATAATTGGTGCATCAGCCCTATTTGCAAAATATAGTTTTTAGTTATTTTTATATTAAAATTTTGTTTTCTATAGAAAAATATTTAAAAGTAACAATAATTCCATATTAACTTTCATAATACAATATAATTTCAGGAAATAGTAAAATTAAAAGCAGAATTCGCATTCTCAGAATGAAAGTGGACAATCCATACTCACTTTCGAATATGCTTGTAAGTGTCTGGGATAACATATTTAAGTTATGATCTGAATTTCAGAATGTTTTTATAAACAATCAAAACCATATTTTTAACATAAATAAAACTAAAAGTGAATTTTCCTTGCATTTAAATAGAGGGTGGTTAAAAATTTTTGCATGATTCAGATAAAGTTTACAAAAATATTTTGACTGTAAAATTATGTTACATTCAGTTACCATGCTTACTCACTTAGTTTTCTCCCTTTCTTTATTAATCAAGAAGAGAAAATTATGCAAATCATTTAATTTCCAAAGGATGCAGTTACAATAAGAGCATAACAAAAGAAAAATATTCATGCATAAGACAATGGTAACTATCACAATACTATTTATTTAAAAGAAATCTACATTTGAATAAGAATACATACATAATAATATTAATATTCCAATATCTAAATATCTTCACATCAATTTCCTCTACACTGACTTTTATCAGCTCTTATTGTAGCCCTGTGTTACTTTCTGGGCCTCAGATTGTTTAATGCTGCTGGAACAGCTGTGTGTGTGTCATCTGCTACAGTTTGCAGATCATTACCATTATCATTATTCAATCTGTCTTTCCACGAACAATGATTTTCAGAACCTAAATAAGCATCAGATATCCACATTTTCTTGAAGATTTTCAATATTATTTCATTATCAGTCACAGACCATGCATCCAAAAATCCTTAAGCAAATCAATTAGGACAATGAAAACTACTACTACATGAACGAATTCATTTAATTTAGAGAAGCTCACTTTATCAGTGCTTTAACGAAGTTTAAAGAATGAAGCTGAATGCTTAAAAAATTTTCACAATTTTGTACTAAATGGAAACTTGCACAAGTGTGGGGGGGGGCTATGTAAGTAACTCACACACATAAAATTTGCAAGCATAACCATGTGAACACATTTTTATGCATATATGAAACTTACAAAAATACATATGTTAAAATTAAATATATAAATTTTTATTTTATAATGTAAACTAAGATTTGAAAATAGGATATTTAATAACAGTTTCTTGCTTCCCTGTTCTTTATTTACATCTTGAAAATCACCTTTGTGTTTCTGACTACTTTCTACACAAGAAGACATTGACAAAAAATGAAAAACTCATTTTACAAGAGTATGTACATAAAAAAAAAAAAAAAAAAAAAAAAAAAAAAAGGAATTAACATTTTTCATCTATTTTCCTAGCTGGGTATCTTAAATTTTAAACAACTCTACATCTATCTTCATTTTTATACGATCTAAAATGGAGAGAGACAAATATTAAATATGCAGTAATTTTAGAATATTCTTAAATTTAAAATTAAGCAAAAAAGAAACCTTAGTGTACGGCAGATCGTAAATATAACTCATTCAAATCTGAGAGCGATTAAGAGGACTAGCAACGAAAAATCACTACCATTGTACATATCAAATTGGACTCGATCAAAAAAAATGATAAGTACAGTCAAAAGTCTTTAACCCGGACTTGTCGGGACTTCGGCGATTCCGGATTATCAGTTTTTTCGGATTATAGATCATCAGTTTAAATCTGGTAAGATGGCATGCAGAAATTATAAAATAAAAAATATGAAACCGTAATTTATAAATAAAGAGCAATTATGATCTAAAGGGTATCAAAATTTACAAAAAAAAAAAAAAGCTTAATATTTATTCGTTTACTTTATTAAACATTTCTTTCAACACGCACACGCATAAAGCATACATTACGCATAGTCGAAATTAGAAAATTGCAACCAGAAAACTATTTGATGTGTATTCGTAATATTTATAACAACAGGAATTTGATTTAAATCACATCAAAGACGGAGTACATCGAGATGAAATACTGCATTTACTAAGGAATTATAAGCCGAATAAAATAAAAACATCTGTGCTGAAGGTAAGGATAGTGCTGACAGATCAACTTCCAGTTCATTGCGTGCTGTGGCGTGCCCCCCCCCGTCCGCAGAGCAGCATGAAATTGATAAACAGATTTCGGAATGGTTAGAGAAACAAAGGATATGCCTTTATCCATTTTTTTTTTGCAGCAATTCCACTTTTTGTTTGATGGACATTGAAACATGCTTTTGCTTTTTATAGATCCATTGGCAGCTCCAAAATCGGAAATTCTTTTTGACATAATCAAAGTTCAAACTTACTTTTATAAAATTGCTCTAACAGTCTGCAAAAAATAATGAGCTGGATCCAATTAGAAGATTAAGGAACAATGCAATCTGCTACATTAACTGAAATAGATAATTAGATAATTTTAGCTTAGCTTATACCATCCATTATACATTAAACGAGCATGTGTAAACATATTATGCGCATGCATAAATGCATATATGCATGCATAAAGGTATTATGCGCATGCATAAAGGCATTATGCGTTTACCCATGCACAGAAAGTTTGTAGCTTTGAGGTCCCGATTATAGATCATTTCGGATTATGGACGTCCGGACTTTTGACTGTATAATAGTTGCACAGTTCATATTAAGGCTGCTATCATTTATGCTTTTGTGCACATTTTTGCTGCTGCCATATTAAAATATTACTTTAACTATTTTTTAAAAATTTTATGAAAATTCAGCAAAATATTAAATTTGAATTGTTCATTAAAATTTGAGACCTTTAAATGATTTAGCACACATTTAAGAACACTGATAAACAAGTATTTTAAAAGAAATACAGTACAAAGTCCAAAATCCAGACGTCCATTATCCGGAATGCTCTAAAATTTGGACCTCAAAACCACCAACAACATTTTTCTCCTAGGCTTTATGCATGTGCATTTAATTCCATCCTCCACACATAATAAAACATCTGAAGAGTCCCGATTCTAAAATTTCACTTCGACACTAAATAAAATAACTTGTTATTGAAGAAACAAAAATTTTAGCATAAAGTTTTACAATCAATAATTTGGCTCCATTGCTGTGTATCTGCTTTTTGGCACACATCTCAAATCGAAACATTCCACATAGATACATTGTTGATCTGACACCAGCAAACCTGGCAAATCATTATTTATTATACTTTCCTTTCATCACTGCATTTTTATCAAAACATTTTATGTTGACATTACGCTTGGCAATGATTACAGATTTAAATTAAATAAGCTAAAAAATTATGAGGAGGAAAAATTTACCAAAACTTTCTTTCCATATGCTAAAAATAGATTTTGCTGATGATACTCATAGACCCAAAGATTACATTTGTCGCTGTTTGAATTAAATATAACTGATTTGTTATTCACATAAAACCAGAACCAGCACCAGGGCTTGTATAGCCGCAAGGAGTCACAGAATTTAGGACCCACAGGACTGCATCAGGGGGTAAGATATCTAGTGCCGGCCCTCCTTGTGCTACTAAGGCTTAAGTATATGTGGGAATTTATTTATTCAGAACTCTGATAAGCCTTACACATGTGCAAGAAATGGGCAAAAGTATAATAAATAACTAAACTAATACAATTCAGGCTTAATTGTCTCAGTGCGCATTAGAAACAACATAAAATTTAACGGAACAACTTGTCATTAATCGCCAAGCCCATGATGCATAGCCAAATATGTATAGTGAAGGATAGCTAAATTTGATGATGATAGCTGCTAATTTTAAAGGTTTTCAGATATCACAAAACAAAGGTGAAATTTTCCAATTAACGGATTTTGTAGAGAAATGTGGAGAAGCGGTAATAAATGAAGATAACATAAAAGAAGTTTTCATGATGATGACAATGCTTCTTAATCATCAATCATTTAATGAATGGTGAAATCTGTAGTATGGTTCTAAATCCAGAAAATACCACTACCAATAGTGAAGAAAGTGACAGAGAAGTTACTGAAAATGAGAAAATTTCAATTGACAAATTAGTCGGAATTCTCGAAACAGCAGATACAGCACTTCTAACAATGTAACTGAATAAGAAATTGTGTCTGTCTGCAGAATTAAAGAGAAGGGTATTAGCACAAAAAACGGAGCAACTTAAACAACTTACATTGAAAGACATATTTAATAAGGTAAACAAATAAATATTAAGCACTTTTTTTTGTAAATTTTGATACCCTTTAGATCATAAATACTTCATTATTTCATAAATCCCAATATCATATTAATTTTAAAATTTCTACATGCCATCTCACTACATTTAAACTGATGATCTAATATCCAGAAAAATCCTAAATCCAGAATCGCCAAAGTCCCGACGAGTCCAGATTTCGGACTTTGTACTGTATAAAAATACAGATAACTATGCAAATTAACAGTAACCTGTATTTATACCATTTGTAAATTCTATATGTTAAAAAACAAAAAACTCACCAAGAGTGTTCAGCATTTAATCCAACCTATGGAATAAGAAATAGCATATTAATTATGAAAATATTTAAATTAAGATTAAAATTGTTCACATAATTCCATGAATATATAAATAGCATATTCATTTTTTCCCATTAAAAAAAACAATTATTAAACAAGAAAAAAAGTTATTTATTTAAAAAATAATTTGGTACTTCCTGAATAATCAACCCCCACTGTAAAGTCATGGAAAAATGAAGGAATGCAATATTGCCAAAAAAAGTACTTAGTAGCAAACCAGGTATGTCTTCAGCCCTCGTTTGTTTAAGCATACGTGAACTTACATATTTTAAATGCAATCATCCTTTTTCTGATTAACATTTTCTTTCACATTGAGTATATTTGTCTTTTTCATAATGAGTTGTAATGAGACTATAGAGTTTGCTGGCTGTTGAAAAAGAAAATGTTGCATTTCAGCACAAATACTTTTTTTTTTTTTTTTAAGCAAAGACAAATTGATGTATACATGGAGAGAAGAACAGCGAAAAAAACTACAGAAAGATTTCTTTAGAAAAAGTACTTGATTTCATTTATTTTCAAGTTTACTTGCTTTTTAAATTTTATTGATTGATTGCTTTTTTATGGAATTCTTAGCACAAAACCATTTTGAAATTGGCTCGTCTCCTGTACATTAGCTTGGTGAAAACTTTATTGCTAATGAGTTCATGAATGCTCTCCAAAGTTGGCAATAAGTTCAAGATGAAAGATGGGGGATGCAGACAATCTGCAAATACCCATAATTATTTCATACTTGTCATATACAAAATATTAATTTCACATAACCCAGAAAGTTTACATCAACATAATTAGTTTCATCACATTTTCCTATTAAATAGCATTTTAATTATATAACTATTACTTCTAGCTAGTAAAAATATATAGTTGCATCTCAAAAAAAAAAAAAAAAAAAAAAGATAAAATGACAACAGATGAATTTTGTTATCCAACTATTAGATTCTAAAAGGAGTGCTTTCTTTTAAAACATCAAGACATTAACTTTTCTTTACCTACAACTTCTGAAATGTAGTTACTCAATAGTTTTAAAGTACCAAAATGATAGACAGTCAAAAGTCGTTAATTCGGACATCCATAATCTGGAATGATCTATAATCCGGACCTCAAAGCTACAAACTTTCTGCGCATGCGTCGCGTTGACGCTTGCGCGTAAGACCTTTACCGCTGCGAATTTGCGTGTGCGCATGCGCAAAATACGTTTACGAATGCGCGTTTAATGTATAACGGACGGGATAAGCTAAGCTAAAATTATCTAATTATCTATTTCAGTTAATGTTGCACATTGCATTGTTCCTTAATCTTCGAAGTGGATCCGGCTTATTATTTTTTGCAGACTGTTAGAGCAATTTTATAAAAGTAAGCTTGAACTTTCGATTATGTCAAATAGAATTTCCGATATATATTTACTAATATGTAAAGGATATACAAAGCGAAAGTATCTTTCGGAGTCCATTAAACAAAAACTGGAATTGCTGCAAAAAATGGATAAAGGCATATCCTTTGCTTATTTAAACTTTAACCTTTGTTTATCTAAACTTTAACGTTTGTTTATCTAAACTTTGTTTATCTTTAACGCTGCGGTGGCCTGCAATGAATTGGAAGTTGATCTGTCAGCATTATCCTTATCTTAAGGGCAGATGTTTTATTTTATTTGGCTTATAATTGCTTACTCAATGTAGTATTTCATTGATATGATTTAAATCAAATGCCTCGTCATTGTAATTCGCTTCCGATAGCGAAGAAAGTAACAGAGGTTATTGAAAACGAAAAAATTTCGATTGACAAATTAGTCGGTATTCTCGACACAGCAATTATAGGACTTGAACAGCGGAACTTTGTAACTGAACAAGAAATTATGTCTGTTTATAGAATTAAAGAGAATGTATTATCACATAAAAAAGAAGCAACTTAAACAACTTACATTGAAAGAAATGTTTAATAAAGTAAACAAATAAATATTAAGCTTTTTTTTTTTTTTTTTTTTTTGTAAATTTTGATACCCTTTAGATCATAATTGTTCTTTATTTCGTAAATTACGGTTTCATATTTTTAATTTTATAATTTCTGCATGCCATTTTACCAGATTTAAACTGATGATCTATAATCCGGAAAAATCGATAATCCGGAATCGCCGAAGTCCCGACAAGTCCGGATTAACGACTTTTGACTGTATAACATATTCAAAATTACTGGAGGGATGAAATATAAATTATATTTTGTTCTGCATGTAGTTAGAGATACATTTTTTTGTAAAAAATTAACACATAAAAATTGCCTTGGTATCTTCAGTTTCTTCAAAACATTAATTATTGATTATTGTAGATGTATTTTTAAATATTAATTACTAATAAATTGTCTAGGGAAACTAGTGATAAATTTACATATAATTTTTCTTCTAAAGTCAAGTTCACGAAGATTATTAACTTATTAATATGTTATGCAAAAATACCATTTTAATACAGCTTTATAACACACTCATACATTTTGAACACAAATCACACTACACAAACATAACAAATTAAATATAATAATTCGAGTTTATAATGAAGATGAATTCCTAATATTAAATTCCCAAAATATAAAAATACTACTTTCTTGAAACACTAATACTATAACAGAAATAAGAAGCTACAATAATAATTATGTTATGAAGTTCAGCGAGATGAAGAAACAACTTGAACAAAATAAATTTCTCACTCTGCCATTTTTAGCCACAATTATGGTGAATGACTTGTCAAACCAACGATCATAACCTTTTCCATGAAGCATAGCACGGCCAAACTGATTCAACTTAGTAGGATCTTTCTAAAGTAAAAACATCACATTAGTAGATAATTTTTTTTAATTGTAATCGAAAAACTATGATTCAGTAAATAGTTTTAAATCTGAGTAATTTTAAAAGAATTCACAATTAAACTAAAAAAATTTCACTGAAATTCAATAATACTTACAGAATCAAAATTATACGACTCTTCATCAAGAGCTACGAAAAATGCAGCCTAAAAAAATTGAAATAAATCAACAAATAGCATGTTTTTATAACGCAAATTTTTTTATGGAAAAAAGAATATATATTCACACTAAAAACTTTACCAAATAGAATAAATAATAATTAATTTTTATAATTCACCTTTTCTATGGTGTTTAATGATGCTTTGTTGATACCTTTGCAAAAGTACTTTTCTCTTACTTCAGCCCACACAGTTCTGAAATATGTAATCAAATAAAAACTGTGCAGAAATATACAGTAAAAGACACAGACAGTTTTGAAACATGAAACATATTAAATAACTTTATTGAAAAAGATACAATACTTGTTGCAAAACACAAGAAAAACAAACTTGTATAATTGCAATAAAAATAATAAATGAAACAGCAGTAATAATAATACCACATATAAAGATTTGATAGCATTACAATGTGCACAAAAATTCTGTAAAAATCAAAACTTTGTCATACGAAAATTTAAATAAATTTATTTATTAAAATTTTTGAAAAGTTTGATTCAGTCTTCCCTACATTACATAATGGTTTTACATAAATAATAACAGAAAAAGTAACTTTTTAAACTTTTTTTTTTAAATCTCTAGTGTGGAAGTGCTACTGGATTCATAAAAAGCCTTCAGTGAATTCAATATTTACTAAGTAATTAAGAAATTTATTATGCAACAAAAATATGATACAAATACATTTCATTACAAAATGATAACAAAAAAACATTTTCCTTAAAAATACAAAAAATTACTTAAAAGTATACCAATTTAAAAATATATCAGTACAAACATGATTTTAACCTACACAAAATTCTCTCAGATTATTTTTAAAATGCCTCAATTTATTAAGAAACATATAAATTACCATTTTCAGGATAAATGCATTTTTAAAATATTGACAGAGTTATTAGAAATGCCATATTTTTTCTTTTAGAAGACAAGTGTTTTAGATATTTAATATTCAAAGAACTGACCTAGGAGGAAATTCTCTTATGGTATTCTCTGTCTCTCTCTCTCTCTCTCTAATACATACAATGAATAAATTCAAAGCAGTCCAAAATGTAATCCAATTGTCTGCTGATAGCTGCAACAACTGGCGATAATATTGTAAAATGAAAATAAAACATTCAAATCCATTCCATATTTAACCCAGAACATATTATTAGATATAACATCAAAAAGCACAATGACTAACTACATGAAAATGTAAAAAAAACAGTGGAAACCAAAAATGAAAACAGTAAGAGAGGAAAGCTTATTTACACCATTTGCTACACTTTCATCGGGGGGGCTGGTGTAACGAAATAAATAAATGAATCAGGCTGTTTTTGAACTGACAATGACAGACATTTATAAATTAGAATTCAATACTTCAATTAACCACAGAACATTAATCATAAAAATATTTGTACTTTTATCAATAAAAATATTTGTGCTTTTTTAACCCTACAGGCTGGAGTGGGTAGAATAAAACAGTACAAATTTTCAAGAAAGCCAAAATACATATCTGTACACACACTATATGCAATGTACACTGAAACTCATTCTCAAATTCGATCAAAATTTATCTGAATCCATTGGTGGTCATCCTGGAGAATTTTCACTGCATATGACACAGTGCTATCTGCACACATACAAAAAATACATATATTTCAAATAAAAGACAAATATAAAAATTAAATCTGAAAGTTTTCGGAACTTGCATTACGTCCAAGCATGGGCTAGGTACATATATGTTTCGAGAACATTTGGGCTAATGCCACACTGGAGTACAAATATTTAAAAACAGCATATCTTTAGAATTTCACATACACAGTCTTGTGTGCTGGAGATAAAAATATTTTATTCCGTACAGTGTGTTGCCACTGCTTGCTTTGAAATCACTGAGTTTCTTAATCAAAAATTGCTTAAAAAATATGAAACAGATAATAAAACAAATTTGAAATTCAAGGTTTGGGCTTACAGGTGCCCACATTCGGATGCAGGACTACGTTATTTAAAATTTGATGGCTCTAGATATTGTTGTTCTTTCACGATGCAAGACACATACATACATTCAGGCAGATTCTTCATTATTAAATGTCTTTAAATATAATACAGAGAGATAATATTTGGTGGCAACAATATAAAAAGCGATACGACGCAAAATGCCGTTTCGAGACTAATAGCCATTCTCAGCTACTGCCCATCCGGGCTAAAAATGCATACGTATACGAGGGTTGGAACTTTAATAGTGGCAACTATTTATTTACAAGGAATACAAAAATGATTCATGTCACCATGTTTTACAGTCCTTCAATATAGTTGCCAGCATTGTGTACAACCCGTTTCCAACGATGTGGAAGTCGCAGAATACCTGTAGCAGTGCCTGTTTTGTTGATAGTTTGAATGGACCGGTCTACTGCCACAAGAATCTCAGGAACAGTTTGGAAGCGAGTGCCACGAAGTGGTTCCTTCATCTTAGGAATTAAGTCATAGTCACAAGAGCTTAGATCTGGGGAGTATGGTGGATGGTAAAGCACTTCCCAGCCCCATCACTTGAACAAATCAGTCACAGCTTTTGCTGCATGCGGCCGAGCATTGTCATGCAAAATGAGAGGAGCGTTCTGCAGAAAGTGTCGCCGTTTTTTTCTCAAAGCTGGTCGGAGATTGTGCTCCAAAAATGAGCAGTAATACTGCGCAGTGACGGTCTGCTGTGGGGAAACGGTATGCATTAGGATGACACCATCACAGTCGTACACGAGAATCACCATAACTTTCACATTGCTGGGGTTCTGATGAAATTTCGAACGTTGTGGTGATGCGTAACGACGTCATTCGTTTGATTGGCGTTTCAGTTCTGGCTGGTACGATCGGGCCCAAGTCTCATCCAGCGTAATGATACGGCATAAAAAAAGCATCTCCTTCGCACTCATAGCGCTCCAAGTGGGTTCGGGCAGCATCATATCATAGCCATTTCTGCATTTCCGTCAATTGATGTGGAACCCATCGTGAAACAATTTTTCTCATGGACAGACGTTCCTTCAGAATGTGCAGCACAGTCGTATGTGCTAATCCTGTTTGTCTGGCCAGCTGACGAATCGTTTGGCGGCGATCACCGTCCATTAGTGCGGCAACAGCTTGCACGTCTACATCGCTGACACTCGGACGACCTGGCCGCAGCATGTCTGCCACGTTTTGGTGTCCTTCATTGAATGCTTTTACCCATCTTTCTACGGTTCTGTAAGGCAATGCAGATTTCCCGCAAGCCTCTTGAAGCCCTTGATGACACTGTCGTGCTGTACGACCTCTGGCACATTCAATTTTATCCAACATCGTTTTCTTGTTTTTAAAAACATACTAACAACACTAATTTTAGACCGTGAGCTAATACAAGGATCCGTTCTTTGCGTCACTCCACACGCGCTTGACGTAGGCAGGACGAGTCTTTTTGCTGAGAGGTAAGGTAGGTATGTAGTTCACGTGTGGTATACGCGATATTCTTTGGTTTTGTAGCGTAGCATTTTTTCAGCTGTGTTGCCACTATTAAAGTTCCAACCCTCGTATATTCTAATTTGAACTTTAATGAAGATTCATTTATTTCATTACCTCTTGAAGAACAGAAGTTTTAGCTTATTTACTTTAATCCACACAAGTTATGCATTCATGCTTTCCTGCATCTTATATTTTGAATTTCTGTAGCTAAAGAAATTAATACCAATGTCATATGTTCTAATAAGGCAAAAATTTGGGAAGGGAAGGGGAGGAACAATACAGTCAAAAGTCGTTAATCCGGACCTCAAAGCTACAAACTTTCTGCGCATGCGTCAACGCATAATGCATTCACGCATGCGTGTAATACTTTTATGCATGTGCATAATATTTTTACACATGCGCATTTAATGTATACCAGACAGTATAAGCTAAGCTAAAATTATCTAATTATCTATTTCAGTTAATGTTGCAGATTGCGTTGTTCCTTAATCTTCGAACTGGATCTGGCTTATTATTTTTTGCAGACTGTTAGAGCAATTTTATAAAAGTAAGCTTGAACTTTCGATTATGTCAAATAGAATTTCCGATGATGGAGCTGCCGAAGGATCTACAAAGCGAAAGTATGTTTCGATGTCCATCAAACAAAACATGGAATTGCTGCAAAAAATGGATAAAGGCATATCCTTTGTTTCTCTAACCATTCCGAAATCTGTTTATCAATTTCACGCTGCTCTGCGGGGGGGGAAACGTTGCAGCACGCAATGAACTGGAAGTTGATCTGTCAGCACTATCCTTATCTTCAGGGCAGATGTTATTTTATTTGGCTTATAATTCCTTTCTAAATGTAGTATTTCATCTCAATGTACTCCATCTTTGATATGATTTAAATCAAATTCCTCATCATTATAATTTGCTTCCGATAGTGAAGAAAGTGTCACAGAGGTTATTGAAAACAAAAAAATTTCGATTGACAAATTAGTCGGTATTCTTGACACAGCAATATAGGACTTGAACAGCAGAACTTTGGAATTGAACAAGAAATTATGTTTGTTTATAGATTTAAAGAGAAATCACATAAAATTATCACATAAAACGAAGCAACTTAAACAACTTACATTGACAGAAATGTTTAATAAAAGTAAACAAATAAATATTAAGCTTTCTTTTTTTGTAAATTTTGATACCCTTTAGATCATAATTGCTCTTTATTTCATAAATTACAGTTTCATATTTTTAATTTTATAATTTCTGCATGCCATCTTACCAGATTTAAACTGATAATCTATAATCCGGAAAAATCGATAATCCGGAATCGCCGAAGTCCCGACAAGTCCGGATTAAAGACTTTTGACTGTATAATAGTTTCAGGACTGACTTTAACTCAATGTGTTCCTGTAATTTTTGTCTATTGCATTAACACTGAATGTACACTGGACTGGATATTTCAGCAGTTTTCTTTCTAATGCAATTATTATTCTTTTATTTTACCACCATAAAAATCTGCATTTGTGGCTAAATTTCCAAAATGATGTACTAACTCAAAGTCTCGTCGTACTAAAATAATAAAGAATGGATGAGTTCATGCATATAAATTAAATTCTTCAGCGAAGCTTACCTCTCAACAGCAGTTAATGCACCAAGATGTTCCTCCCCAGGCTGAGGTGGAGATGGATCACGAAGAATTTTTTCAATTTGCCTGAAGTGAAACAAAGGTTCAATTTTAGCTACTTTTTTTTTTTTTAATGTAACAAAATAAAAATGTAAATATCTAAAAAGTTTTAACTTCCAAAACTTATTTTAATCAGTGGGGAAGGAGGAAGAAGAAAAAAAAAATTACATCGCATGAAAAAAAAATAAGAATAATTTACTTAAAAGTATAAATTCATCTCCCTCCCCACTGAAAAGTATAAGTTAAGTACCATTACAGTGGTTTCCAAACTTTTATACGTTTTAAATATTATACAGCATCCAGAGTTTTTACTGGTACCAAAACAAAAGTAAGATACTTTAGCTGGACTTTTATTATTTATTCATATTATTATTCAGAAATGCACCCATTTATGGAAAAATAAAAAAAAAAATGAAAAATTTAATTCATTTAGAAATCATAATTACTACTGAAAAATTCAAAATTTCTTAAAATATTTATTAACTTATATACCTAATTATACTTTATCTTCACCCATTAACTTCAAATCAGCCTAAACCGCTATACCAGCATCAATCTAAGTCTTTTTTTAATAAATAAAAAAACCTTTGCAAAGACATCTTCTGCTACACCATTTAGTACCACTTGTTATTTTTCTTAGCTTCTTACTTCATTTAAAAGACCTAAACCATCACTTTTATTGCCATGAAGAAGACAAAAGAAACTGCCCCTGTTAAAGCTAGTAAATATCATTAACTGGATGCCATTCTCCCAACAAAACAAAACAAAAAAATGAATCAGTGAAAGAAACTTGTCTGTAGGTTTTCACATATCCAATGCATCTTTAAAAAATTTTCTGATATTCTGACTTGAAGTGTATGACAAACAACCTCTAGGACATTGTGAATATCCTACTAATAATCTTTCAGAATGATTTCTTGTATGTTTATAATGTTCTCTGGCATTGCTCTGTTTAAGGAACAGCTAGAACGATCACCACCTTCAACACATAAAGGCATTTTTGAAGTAGTTAAACCACTTTTGTGTTATCATCTGTCTAAAAATGTTTTTGCAGAAAGCTGAACATTTTGTGGTTTTGAAGCATTATAGTAAGTTTGTAACAAAATTTAATGCACACTCAAAGTGTAATTACTCACTGTTCTTTCATTGCACACATTTTCAAACTTGATATAACTTAATATGCACCAAATATAATGTTAAATAGTATCTTACAGAAAAACAAGCCACGATGGATTCACTATAGCAGTAAAATTTATACATACTGGCTTGTAGGGAAATAAATAATGAATATAAAATAGTTGGTGAGAGATAATTCTGCAACTTCTGAATAACAACGGTACATTTTAAGGAGTAAAAGAAAGTTATTTCTGCCTTCTAAGGAAGAAAGTTGCTCAAAATAAAATTTTCTATAATGACATATTTATTGCACACATACACTGTGAACGATTAGATATTTACAGCAAAATACTTAATTACATGTGTACCAAGGAATGTATTTACGGAGTGACTCATTTATATGTCACATCTGTCTTAACAACTCTCATAGCAACCAATCCATTATTTAGCACCTACAATTAAACCCTAAATACAATATTTCATGCCCTTAACCGTTCGACAACTGGTGCGGTACAGTTCTTTTATAAACAACACAATATGTGAAGAAGTCTACAATTAAGTTCTATATATCACACAAATAATTCAGAAGCCTATTTCTGTTCACTAGAAGTAATCAATCTAGTTCAAGCTTCAACCTATTCAGGATTTGAAAAATTGAGAAAAAATGAATACAGCACTAAGAAAACTGATCCATACTATGAAGAAATACTTCAGGATTCATGCCGACCATCTGTTTTTATTGAAAAACTGATGATGCACAAAATAAAGACAACATTATTTCATTTCTAAAATTAGAACCTATTTTAAATTTTTTTAAAAATTAGTCTAAAACAGACTGATACTTTAAGAGTTCCCTGGAATGTCTAGAATAACTACTTTCTATTTAGGTATCCCCTGAATTACAGTAATTTATACATTAAATTATACTTCAGAATTTCTCTTGGAAAATTTAGTCAAATTCCAATGCTTAAAATGAGTTTTATTTAAAAATAAACTTCACCTTTGTAATTCACATGGTCGCAGTAAGCGACCCATATAATACACAGGAAGCTTAAAGTATCGCCCAGCATGGTATACAACAACATGTTGACTATCATCAAAATGTATCAGTTTATCTAAAAATGACAAATAAAGATAACATTAAGAATATTAAAACAACTGTATCAAAATCAATTATGTACAATTAAAATGAAACAGAAATGAGTAGCAACGCTTTCCTTACCAGTTTCTTTCCCAGGAATACGAGTAGTATTAAATGTTCGTTCATATTGAGCTGAACACAAAGGAACAATATTTTGCACCATTATCTGAAAAATAAAAAAAAAAAAAAAAAAAAAAAAAAAATGAAAAATGTGTACAAAAGAAAAACCATACTCTACATTTTCATGAGAGATATACTTACAGGGTTTAATGTTTGCCGATCTATTGCTCGTCTGAAAAGTAATGCGGCATGAATGAAACCAGCAGCTCTAGCAGCTTGATTCTGCGTTGGATGTATTAAAATGGCATCCTGAAAATATCACTCTAATCACATATTATTGCATTACTCAACCAATAGCTTAATTTTTTGTGACATCTTGATAACAAACTATGTTTTCGACATCTTGACCTATATTCTACAAACAATCATGATGAAAGAGAATGAAGTTAAATAAATAAGTAATGAAAAGGTTTGAATTATATGCTTTAACAGGGGGGAAAAATTTTTCTCACTCTACATCATATATGGTCCTGAATGGCTATCAACTGAAAAGGACAGATTCTTTGTCAGAGATTTTTTATAAGTGAAACTGGTTTACAGTTGTTCTACACACCATCAAAAAAAATCTCATTATTTATACCAGAAAACCATGAAAAACCTCATGCAGATACCATATTCAACTACACAAACTACAATCTACAAATTATAATACTAAACAGTTGCATCTGTAACACAGCCTTAACTACTAATCTTGAGATGGAAGGTTAGTATTTATTTTGCATCTTGAACAGGAAATGAAGTCTCGAAACTCTGAAATGCTCTCTCCATTATTATTTTATGATAAGAAGTGAAAGGCAAACCATTTCAATCTCATTCGAGTCCAGTGGATCAATATGAGCTTCAATTATGACAGTGTTACTCAATGTCTACAATGAATTATTATCAAAATACATTTTCAAGCGATTTTATCTTTGGAATGCCAGACTACTTTGGAATGGGAAAACAAAGTATTTTTACCTAATTTTATTATAGGGATCAGATTATCAGTGGTAATGACAACTGTGACACTATGTGCTGATTACAACATATATGCTGCAGAGAATTACAACATTAATTAACAAAACATTAATAAAGGATTGGTTTTTATTAATATTGGAAACATTTACTTCAGTGATTATTTGCAAATTCTAGTTAACATTTGAGAATTTAACAACATTCATTATAAATTCAAACGACATATTCTATATTTACTATTAATCAAAATATTACACACTAATGTAAAATCAGATATTTATTAGTACACAGAAATCATGATTTAGCCAATATTCTGAAAACATTTACTCACAATTCCATAAAAATTACTATTGATCATTAGAGGTCCTCGCCCACGAAGATAAATGAATTCTTCCCACCAATCAGAAACCTACAAATAAAAAAGTTACTGATTTCAAACATTCTGTTCCAATTATAAATTTAGAGTCTTCAGCTTTTACATTACAAATGGATATGTTCACTTACATAGTTCGTAGCCCACCATGATTTTAATATTAGGTACCGTTGCAACTTTTTTCCAATGCCATTTTGAAATTCTTTAGCTAGCATATCCATTCTCTTAAATTTTTCATCATCAAGCAATGATCTCACTGATAGCAGATACTGTAAAACAAAAAGTAACATCTTTGCATTCTGATAGATATAAAAGTACATTTAAAGTACATAAATATTTACATCACCACCAGCGAAATGAATTTCAAATATTATATGTCAAACTAAAAAAAATCCATTTCACAATTTTACTGCCAATTTCATTTCATATGATTATGTTTCATAAAGGAAACAAATATAATCTTAAGGCTTATTTTATGAATCATACATTTTTATTATAACTCATAGCATAATATGAAGCACGGAAATAATATTGGTTTCTTACTCGTGACATAGTATCTTCTACAGAAGGTACGGGGAGATTTGGAAGAGAACCCTGAAAACTGTACAATTGAGGTTTCCTTTTTGCAATTAATTTCATAACAGCCTACAAAGAAAATAACAAAAATTATCTATCTACTCAGTTCAATAAATTGTTTAAAAAAATTATCAAATAATAAGAAATTAATCATTTATTATTCCAAGCAATCTGAAATAATAAACAATATATAAAACTAAAAATATCAATCAGCCTTCTAAATTCCCACACTAATCCTCTTAAGCATGATGCTAGCAAAATTTTAAAATTAGCATTGAATTTTATAAAAAAAAAAAAAAAAATCCATCTTCAAAGCAAAATTAATGGTCTTTCTAAATTACAAAACCACTGCATATTCCCACTTCATACAGTTTCTTATATTTTTTCAATGTACATTCATCACATGAAGCATTATTAATTTTTACTGATCAGAAGGTAGGAAACCATTTGAAACATTTTAAAGAAATGGAAGTAATATATACAAAGTAGCAACAAAGCTTATGGCCAGATAAATTCATCATGCCATTCAGAGGAATTAAAATGGACATGCTGATTTCCCCACATAATTTTCTTTTAATGGCTGAGAGCTTTATTTAAGAACCATTAGCCTTGTGCCACCAAAAGTGCTGAAAGTGGTGGCCATTTTATTATGGAAACACCTAACAAGTAGCAACCACTGCCTCCGATGAAGGTAGAGACAGTTACAACCATGCCTTCTCTGGGATTTGAACCCAGATCCATCGCTACGGCAGTCAGATTCACTAACCACCTCTGCTGGCTGGATGGCATTCCCCCACACTTATAAGCTGTAAACTGGGAAAAAAAAAAAATCTGAATGGTTTCAAATTTTAAATTACATCCAAAGGGGCTTTTTTTAAACGCTTTGTGCGTTACCTTTATTTATTAAATATCATGTTCTTTGCACTTGAAATTCAGTTCAACAGCAATATCACAAAATAATTTTTAAATGAGCATATCCTTTAGATTTCCCGACAAACAGTTCCGCGTGCTAAAGATTAAAAGGTTCCCCCCCCCACCGTAGAGTGTTGCCATTGCTCGCTTTTAAATCATTCAGTTTGTTGACCAAAAATTCGTTAAAGATTTACAAAATATGAAACACATAATAAAATAAATTCTAAATTTGGCTTCTAGATGGCCATATTCGGTTAGAAACATACATTATTCAAAATTGAATGGCTCTAGGTACTGTAGTTTTATCACAATGCAAGAAACACACATTTATGCAGATTCTTCATTATTTAATTTCTTTATTTATAATACATTGTGATAATTTTGGGGGATAACAATTTGAAAAGTGACTAAGACACTTATAGTGAACCAACTCAAAATGCCAAAATGAAAATAATAGTCCTTCAGGACAAATTGCCCCATTGGACTAATAATACATAATTTTCTATGACATAAGATCAAACAATTATAAAATATATATTCTTATCTATTTACATTCTTTGCATTATCTTTAATATTCATTTTATAAACTTAAAAAATTAAGTAATGCTTGGCATTTATGACTAATTAATTGAAAAATGCTGAATAATGACTAACTCGTTTTAGTTGTAAAATATATGGCATCCATTTCTTAATTATAATAAGCAGTGGAAGATATAACCTGAGTTCAACAATATAGTGAATTTTTTATAACACAGTTAATATACAGAAACATGCCTACACATGTTGATATCCAAGGAAGAAATGTAAATATGCACCTCCAAATATAATGCATAGAATACAAATACCTCACACAAGTTATACTCCACATTTAGCAATCTTTTCAACTGTTTAATTAAGCAAATACCTCTCTTTTTCCTCATCTTGTTCCTAAAATGCTAACAAGTTGAACATTAAATTTGAGAAGACTTAAACAATGATTTTTTTATTTATTTATTTATTTATTTATTTATTTATTTTTTATTTTATTTTATTTCCTACAACCGGTCTTTATATAATGAATTGATAATTCCTACACCCAAATCATAGTTTGCATTGGTGAAATAATTAAATCTTAAAAAAGGAAATAGGAAAATATTCTGATAGTTTAGAAAAGCAGATAATAAAGTTCATGAAAGTTTTTAGATTATAGGAAGTATTTTAAACAAATAATTGTAATTTAAATACATTAAAAAGAAAACTTAATTCCATAAAAAATAATACTTACAAGCCATAATTTTGTTTTCAGTGACATTTTTCCAGAACGAGCTTCGTACATCCATCCTTTATATACTAGTAGCAATTTAACACAGTATCTCACAGTATTCACAAATATCAGCCATAAGATAATTGTATACATGGCATAAAATGCTGCTATACTGAAAGTAGCTACCAGTGGGTTGCTAAAAAATGATTTTAAAAAAATGATTAGAAAAAGAGAAGACAATACAAACACTATGTTACACATTTCTTTCAAATTTTCACAGAAATATACTAGCAATAACTTCACAACTGTATGGTAATTTAAATATTCCCAATGTCTAGATTGATAAATGCATTTTCATGTTATGCAAGAATAATATTTTATTTACAATTTAAACAACTACTCCACCCCTTTTGAGCAAATATTACTGACTTATGAAGCTACTGAAAACATTATAGTGTTGCAGGCAAAAAAAAAAAAAAAAAAGATCTACCAAGCAGAATAACAAAAATACTTTTCCTGCATGTCTCATCAATGTAGCTGGCTTGATTTACTCAATGCAGTGAATAAAGATTTACAAATTTAGATTAAAATGCATCTTTGAAAAGAAGAATGAGATTTATAAAATGCTAAACTATTTCTACAGTAAACCTAGTTTCTTTGCAAATAATGCTTCCTAATAAGGAAGAAGAAAACTAATTAATAAATAAATAAAATCAATATTAGAGAAATCAATGAAGAATGAATGACTTGTTTCCAAGGGAAATCACAAACAGGAACTTTTCCTTCTACTTAAAGTCAAACTGTAGCATATTAAAAAAAGGCTCTTGTGTAGAATTGGATGCCCCTTTGATTAGTGACAAATTTTGTTGTTTTGGTGATGAAACCCCATTTTTGGTTACCATGATAGTTTTAACTCTGTTTTAGATTCCTGATTTTTTTTTAAGTGAAAATAGATCGGTGTCTACATGGACCAAGTTAAGGCAGTGCACAATGCCTAGTTTGTGGAATTATCTGATGTTTCTTAAGTGAAAATAGATCGATGTGTACATGGACATCGAGTTTGAGCAATTCTTTGACTTTTTATTTTGGTTTTGTGTAGCGGCCATCTTTAATTGTGCCTTCCTAGCGCCGATCTTGGTGTCAAAAAACAATCACCAAATAAACAAGAGGCACACAATTGTACACTTTTACCTAAACAATTCTAGGAAAAATACCTAATCAATATTTTTATCAATCTTGTTTTAAAAGAGGGAAATTTTTTTTTTTTATTTAATAAAAGATACCACTTTTTTTAATTTTATAAAAGACAGATATTTGGATGTTGGTTTTTCAAAATAATGGGGGATAATTGATATGGGGAAAAAAACAGTTTTCCAAAAACTGGTAAATTCTGTTAAATATTCAGTATAAATTTCATCTAAAGAATTCCTTTCACCATCTAAATGATGCAAACAGAAAAAAATCTTAAGATTTTTAGATTGTTCATTAAATAAAGAAATGTGTGAAAAATCAATTTAATATTAAATTTTTAAAAATCAATACCAAATTTTGAAAGAAAAAAATTACTTTGAAGTGCACATCTTTATCATTCAAACAACAAATGCTCCAAATTTTACAGCTATGGTCCTATCTGTCTCTGCACTATGCGACAAAGTTGCATCAGAAATAAAGATGAATTTGACCACACTGTACAAAACAGCATGCATTTATTAATATTATAGGCTCTAAATAATTAAGTTAATTAACTGAAATCTTAGAACACACTGAAGAACCACAACATTATGCCCACTGCCTCAATAACGCATTGCACAACTTTTCACCTACAGAACAGCTGTAACTCGCCTTCGCATGGATGTCACAAGTTCTTTGTAGATGACTGGCAACAGCTTATATCAAATGTCTAAGCAGCGGTAACACAAAGTCGAGATATTCCAATATGGTGGTGTTTATATATAAACAGAAAATAATTTTTGAATAAAATGGCTTATGAAATCTTTTAAAACAATATTTAATACATAAACTTAATGTCGTTTTAAAAGCAATTACATTTAAATGCCTCAAAACAGACAAAAATATTAAACAAAAAACTGACAATATTACATACTCAGTGAAATGTGAAGCCAGAAAATCAACAAATCCATGCGAAACATCTCTTTCTTTCCATGTTAAAAAAGCAATGATAACAGCTATAATGAGCAAACTATATGGGGATGCTGGATAAGCACAAGTCCATATATTGTTCTAAAAAATAAAAGTAATTTAATATAAATGAAATATTTTCACAGATATTACACTATAATGAACATGGTGCTAAGAAAAACAAGCAAATACTTAACAGTAGTGATATTTCTAAAACTACTATGTTATTAAATATTTGTTAAATTTTAGATTTGTGACAGAAACTTTATCAAATCATTTTCAAGTCACCAATGCATCATATTTTACATTTACAGCTTAAGTCAGAAGTACGGCTGCATATTTGATCACACTGTGTAACAGAAGTATAATAAAGCTACAAGAAGTGAAAAAAAAATTTTTTTTTAATTGAAAAACATTGCCAATCAGATTCCTTCATCTGCCTAAAACTGCTTGACCTTCTTATTATATTTATGTTATTGAAAATCATGTAAACAGATTCTCCAGACAGTCAACAGCAACAATGCTATATTAATATTGCATTTAACCAGTTTCACCTTGTGATCATTCTGGTGTGCAAGTCAGGACTGCTGTAACTGTAACTTGTTCAGCATGCTCACTGTCATCTTGGCTAATGACATAAGTGCAGGAACGTGACTCGCATGAAACAAAAAAATGAACTTCCAAGCTTAATATGACATTCAATTTTTTCCTTTGAAATATTTAGTCATGTTGCTGACCTACCTTGTAAAATAAATTACATTACAGCTATTTTGTAAAAGAAAGGAGTGTCTATAAAAGCAAATTTTAATCAAATAAACTGAATTGCACAACCTGTCTGTTTTGCTTTTCCATTTCCATTCTTGAGAATTTGAGCAAATTTGCTGGAATGGTGAAAGCTGAGGTAAGAAAGCATAATACAGAAGCTGTAGGAAGAGTAATGCAATCCGTTGGAAGTACTTAGTAGCAAGACGTTACTCAATAGCGAGACGAAAATTTTATGTCAGTAAAAAAAGAAAAAACAAAAACTTCCGACTCACTTCTGCTAAATCGATGAAAGAAAGACACCCTACTACTGAAAAAAAAAAAAAGTGTTATTTGCTGATGAAAACAAATATAACAGCTTCGGATCAAATGGACGAGTGCTGGTGAGGAGAAAACCCAAGGAAGAATTTCGGAAGCAAAACTTAGTATAAAGTGCTAAACAGAGTGAAAGCGGAGTTATGGTATGGGGATCTATGGCACATTCCAGTTTTGGTAATATAGAGTTTGTAGATGGTATTATAGATCAGTATAAGTACCTTAACATCTTAAAGCGAAATTTGGCATCGTCAGGAAAAAAAAATAAACATGAAGTAGTTTTAAATTCTAGGACAATGATCTAAAACATACTATACACAATGTTAGAGCCTAGGTGTTATATAAGTGACCAGAAGTAATTGAGGCACCATCTCAATCACCAGATCTTAATCCTATTGAACATATTTAGCAGGAAAGAGAATCAAAAATTTGAAAACAGAGCATATCTTCGTGGCAGCAACTGAAAGCAGTGATTCAAGAGGAGTGGCAATAAAATAAGTCAAAAAAAAAAAAAAAAAAAAAAACTAAATGAGCCAATGCCCAAAAGATTAAATGATGTGAGTGATCAAATGTACAGGTAATTCCACAAGAAGCAAAAACAATGTTAAGTTTTTGTTATTTTTGGCTGTTGCAAAAAGTGTCCGATTATTTTTGTGGGAATATTTTTCTTCATTAAACAAATAATACTGATTTTTTAATTTAATTTTCATCTTTTAGAAAATGTATTTACGATAAAAAAATTTAATTTATATATAATCAAAATAAAAGCTTTTCTTTTTGTTTTAATTAATTTTAGTTTTTATATTCATTAAAGAATACAAAAATTCAAAGTGTCTGATCGTTTCTGTGAGTCACTGTATGTTCTTCAATAGTCATGCGATAATTGACAAGCAGAGAGTAAAATTATAGTATCTTAAAAAGAAAATAACTTCACAAAAGTGTCACAGAATTTGAGATTACTTAAAACTAAATTCCAATACATATAATTCAATATCAGATATTTTCAATTCACTAAAAATTTAAGAGTGACACTGATCTGAACATAACACATCCCACAGCATTAGATGATCATAAAATTCTTTTTACACAATAAAATTTAAAAAACAGTAATAAATTATACATGTATGTCTTACATATGGAAATTGATATGTTAAAAAAATTTACAAGAATGATTAATTACATGGTCTAAATATCTAATTCTTCATGAAAAAGGCTGAGCAAATATATTTTCCTTTAAAAATTAGGTAATAAATGAAAAACTACCTTAACATATTTTATAAACCCTGATCAGCCTATATAAGATGAGCATACAGAGCGGTAAAGATGCTGAACACTGGTAGTTCGGTCTGAGTTTCGAATCCCGCGAACGGGCTGGCTGCATGGGCGTTTTCGTGGTTTTCCCCATGTGTAACGTGTATACGAGCCAGTTTCCCTTAGAAAGTCCTCCACGAAGGCATCCCTCCCTTTAGACAGATAGCCCTCGTGTGCTTTGCCATAACTGAATAATCCAATCCAATCCATAGAGCATAATTTTCACAAGTGTATTTTAAGAGAAAATATCATGTCACATTTGGGCAACAGTGATATCTGATAACTAAAATAAAGTTTCAAAAAATTTAATCTAATATAAATGAATAATTTAAATTAAAAAAAAATAAATACATATTTTCCAGAAATGAAAAAGAAAAATTTTTATAACTTCCAATTTTACACTAGCAATGAATGGTAGATTAGTAGATTTCAAATTAATTGAAGCAGCATAAAGAGTGATTTAACAGTTTTTTATCCAAATTTAGTGAATTCTACATGTTCAGCTACAAAATAAATTAAGTTGAAATTCAGTTCACGAGGTACAATTAAGTATAACTTTTATTTAAGCATAAAATTAAAAAACTTTCAAACAAATTTAAAAACTGGAATTTGATAAAATATCTGGCTTTATGCTTACCCAAAATTTAGTCAATCTCCTCCTCCAAGAACGAAGTCCACTCTGCCATACTGCATAAAATATTTCATGGTCATAGTTTATGTTGACACCTTCATGGCTGATAGTAAAACTGAAAGCAACAGCAGAGTGAGCTTCTGCCATCTTCAATAAGAGAAGTTACTGCAAATCAGAAGCATAAAACAATTAAAACATAGATATTAAACTAAAAAAGCATACACTTTACATACAGAGAAAAAATAATTCATTGATATGCTAATTCAATTATTTTTTTTAATTTTATGTAATAAACATTTTATTATTTACAATTATTAAAAGAAGTAAAAAAAACATTGTCTCGTATTTAAAAATGAAACTCTTTTTATTCAACTAAGTATCAATTCGCTAAATCTTAAAAATGTACAAACAAATGCATAAAAAATATAACAAATTAAAATGCATTGCTTTTTAAAATAATGGCTGAAATATCACAAGTCCTGGGAAAAGCTTTCAGTAATCTTACAGATCTGTAAGATATGAAGTCTGCAGTGCTTGTTTTATGCAGATGAAAATGTTACTGGATTTGTAACATCAATGAAAAGAATGTAAACATGCACAGATATTTTAACTCTTCATATTTGCAAGAAAACTCCCAAAACACAACATATAAGAGACTAAACTATGATTTAAAATTTTACAGACTATTTTTTATATTGAAGGTTACATAAACATAGATATTATCCATAAAGTTTATATTTAAATATTAGACTCATTTATACCAGGTGTTCAAAAATGACTATGCTCTTTATATCATTAAACAGTAAACTTTTCTTACAACAAATGCAGAATTTCATAAAATGTTTTGTTAGTGTTGTTAGGGTTTGCTAGTATAGAAAAGGGTTCTGAAAAATAAAATATAACTTTTTATATAGTCTTTTCACAGAGTAAATATTTCAACATTGAAATATTCATTACGCTTTAATTAGTTTAAAAAATATTCTGATATTTATATATGAATATAATATATTCAAATTTCAGAGACACATTCTTAATAAACATTTTCCTGAAAAATAAAATACTAGCTACTAAACTGGCTAAGAAAATAAAATACTGGCTATAAATGCTCTTTATCTTAATATTAATTATTAATTTCCAAAACCAGCAGTTTTTGCTTCCTAAATATGATCTTAGAAATTCTAAATTTAAGGCTGTAAAACAAGCATTAAAAAAAATGACCTTACTAATTTCATTCTCAAATAGTTTTTCCCTTAGATATTATCCCCTTATCTATGTTATCTATAAACAAGAGAAGCAATGCCCTTTGATTTGAGAATTTTGTGTCACAGGTAGGCAAAGTATCTTAAGTTATCCAAAAATGAACTTTGCACAATGATAATAAAATCAAACATGAAACATCAAAACTACTTAGATAAGAAATGGCTGTATCCGCATCAGACACTGATGAACAGTGTAAACACTTTAAGTGCAAATAAAAGGCTGCTGATGAGCTAAAACAATCCATTCATAAATCTATATACAGTCAAAAGTCGTTAATTCGGACACCCATAATTCGGAATGATCTATAATCCGGACCTCAAAGCTAAAACTTTCTGCGCATGTGCCACATCGACAGATGCACATAGGCGTTTACGCGGGCGCGCAAGACCTTTTACCACTGCGCATATGCGTGTACGCAAGCGCAGAATACGTTTTCACATGCGCGTTTTATGTATAACGGAGGGTATAATCTAAAATTATCTAATTATCTATTTCAGTTAATGTTGATGATTGCGTTGTTCCTTAATCTTCGAATTGGATCTGGCTTATTATTTTTTGCAGACTGTAAGAGCAATTTTATAAAAGTAAACTTGAACTTTCGATTATGTCAAATAGAATTTCCCGATTCTGGAGCTTCCAAAGGATCGTACAAAACGAAAGTATGTTTCGATGTCCATCAAACGAAAAGTGGAATTGCTGCAAAAAATGGATAAATACATGAAGAATGTGACAGAGAGGTTAGTGAAGACGAAAAAATTTCGATTGACAAGTTAATCGGTATTCTCGGCACAACGATTAACGGGACTTGAACAGCGGAACTTTGCAACTGAACAAGAAATTGTGTCTGTTTATAGAATTAAAGCGAAAGTATTATCACATAAAACGAAGCAACTTAAAATAACTTACATTGAAAGAAATGTTTAATAAAGTAAACAAATAAATATTAAGCTTTTTTTTGTAAATTTTGATACCCTTTAGATTATAACTGTTCTTTCTTTCATAAATTAAGGTTTCATATTTTTAATTTTAGAATTTCTGCATGCCATCTTACGAGATTTAAACTGATGATCTATAATCCGGAAAAATCGATAATCCGGAATCGCCGAAGTCCCGACGAGTCCGGATTAACGACTTTTGACTGTAACCAAAATTTTTTACAATAACAGTACTTTCTTTACATTATACAAGGAAATAAAAACAGAACTCAAAGCTTGTTACAAGTCTAATTTTTTTTTTTTTTTTTTTTAACTAAAGAATTAATTATAACTTAATTTTAACATCTAAAAGAAAAAAAGAAGGAGAGAAAGAAATTGAGTTTTTCCTATCAACAGCATTCAATAAACCTTACAGATTCATAATAATCTTAACTCATAATAACCTTAATAATTCATAAACAAATTTATAATAGCCTTAATAAACAAAGTATAGATAAAAATGAACTGTTAATAGCAATGTCATAAACACTGCTTTGAAATATGAAATGCAATCAACTTTGTTTTCTGAAACTGTACTAAAATTACAGTTTAATCAAAGAATTTTTTTCAATAAATTTAAAATTATAAGATTGATTAGATTAATTTTCCCTCAGATTTGCTAGGCTTGAACCAAAAAGAGCTAAGGAAACGTGAAGAAACAAATGAAAAAATACAACTTATTTATTATTCTGGGCATATACAGTCAAACGTCGTTAATTCGGACACCCATAATCCGGAATGATCTATAATCCGGACCTCAAAGCTACAAACTTTCTGCGCATTCATCGCGTTGACGCGCAAGACCTTTACGCCTGCGAATTCGCGTGCGCAAAATACGTTTACGAATGCGCGTTTAATGTATAACGGACGGGATAAGCTAAGCTAAAATTATCTAATTATCTATTTCAGTTAATGTTGCAGATTGCATTGTTCCTTAATCTTCAAATTGGATCCGGCTTATTATTTTTTGCAGACTGTTAGAGCAATTTTATAAAAGTAAGCTTGAACTTTCGATTATTTCAAATAGAATTTCCGATATATATTTACTAATATGTAAAGGATATACACAGCGAAAGTATCTAGCGCAATGAACGGGAAGTTGATCTGTCCTTATCTTAAGGGTCCTTACCTTATCTGTCCTTATCACTATCCTTATCTTAAGGGCAGATGTTTTTATTTTATTTGGCTTATAATTGCTTACTAAATGTGGTATTTCCTCTCGATGTACTCCATCTTTGATATGATTTAAATCAAATGCGTCGTCATTATAATTAACTTCCGATAGCGAAGAAGAAAGTAACAGAGATTATTGAAAACGAAAAAATTTCGATTGACAAATTAGTCGGTATTCTCGACACAGCAATTATAGGACTTGAACAGCGGAACTTTGGAATTGAACAAGAAATTATGTCTGTTTATAGATTTAAAGAGAAAGTATTATCACATAAAACGAAGCAACTTAAACAACTTACATTGAAATAAATGTTTAATAAAGTAAACAAATAAGTATTAAGTAGTCGCCAAGGGCCGGTTATCTGAAAACTGCCCATAATACACATACACCTTTTGCTTTTTAAAAAAAAATTATTGTAATTACATACTGAATTTTTTTAATGAATTGTAGTTCCTGCACATCTTTATATCTGTTTTTAACAAACTATGCTACTGCATTCAAGATCCACTAATTTATTTACTCTAGGTTTTCATAAACTTTGAGGTATAGCTCAGAAATCAAAATAATATACTTTAAACAACCACATAATTCTCTACAAAGGTTTATTCAAGTTTTTATAAGTAAATGAATTTTTCTAGCAAAAAAATCTTAACATCTGTGTTTATGGAATTAAAAAATGTGATATGTTATACAAGTAATATTGGTATAACATATCACATTTTTTAATTCCATAAACACAGATGTTAAGTAATAAGTAAAGCTCCACAAGAATAAATAATAACCAAGAAATAGCCATGATATTTTCTTTACAGTTACACTGTTTTTTCAAAATAACCAGTGGAAAACAAACAAATTTTGCTTTTTAGTATCATCAGTAAAATACAAATATGAGCAACCTAAGGTTACATGTAATTTTCTTGTTTATCTTGCTACATCATTGCAAGCCCAATATTAAAGGTACACATTAAATTGGCACTAAATCTGACTGGTAAGAAGTCTTAACATAATGTTTGCATGAATGTGACATGTAAAAGTCACTTAACAGTTTTCTGTCAAACTTTCAAGTTTAATCATTATGAAAAATAGTCATTTTTCCCATGTTATCCTTCTGAATTCTAAGCAATCTTAAATACTGGGTCATATATATCGACTTTTCTTTTAGGCTAAGCATGGAGAAACAGATGCCTGAACCACGGCAATAACTACAAAATAAAAAATATATATATCATTTTAAAATGTTTTGAAATTAGGGAAGTTTATGTACCTCAGTTTATCTTTCCTTAATTAAGTTACCACTACTTATTAACTACAGGTGTGTTCCTAGTTTATACAGAAAATAAATTTATACACATTTCCTATGATATATTGCGAAAAGTGCAGAATATTGATACAAAAACGAAGAATTCATCAATTTAAAAATGATGCAATGAAAAATACAAGAATTTTTAACCGTAATTTGTTTACTTAATTAAAATAATGAACTGTCGATTTGTATATCGGATGTATTTCAACATCAAATATGTACTTTTATTTATTTATTTTGGCTTATACAAAACAGAAAAGTATTATGCTATATGATGATCATCAATAAATCATGTTTAAACATTTAGACTAATACCCATTTAAAGCCTGCATGGTTAAAACTTCTAGTGATTTAATTTACATGATGTAACAGTGGATGCACAAAACTGCTTACCAACAGAATAAAACAAAAATCCAAAACTAATCCCAACGAAAACAGCAGTTTACACGATTCACGTGTCTGTACAAAATATAGGGTTGTAACACTGAGCAATGTCAAGAAAATGACCTCGAATCCTTGATCTGCTAGTAAAACATCTACTTCTTTATTCGAATGAACAATCAAGTTAAAAACCACTGGAAATAAACTTTGATATCAGCACATTTCCATTATTCCAATTATTAGGGGACACACAACGATCCAAATCAGCTGAACTTTACGATAGACACACAGAACACTGCGCGAGGGAAGATTGGTTATGGCGCATGCCCGTAGGCGAATCCACCGCTTCCCGTGTTGTAATGATTGTAAACAGCTGTGTTGCAATGGTGGGAAATTCTGATTGGTTCGATTGGGAAGAATTTGGAGGCTCGTTTAAGCGTCACAACTCCTTTTGCAACTATCTCCAAATGATACTCATGAGAGCAACTCCACATAGAAATACTACGGCACCGCCAGTGTTTTTTCACCAATTTTTTTTCAACCAAATTCAAATTTTTTTCAACCAAACCAATTTTTTTTTTCACTCTAGGATTTTCTTGAATCATACGGTAGTAAATTATTACATTACAAATGACCACTATAATTTTTCTGAAAATTAGCATATTTTCTGAAGCTTCGGATAACAAATATATTTACGAGTACTAGATATTTTTATTTTTATATAATACGTGTTCTATTATTTGTCATACTTAAATAATTTTATTAGCTCCTTCCTATGTTTTAACATCTGGACTGACAAAAGTGTTAATTTCTTATTTATTAAGACAGTGTAGAGGAATTGCATTGCAGAGAAAATTTGCTAAATGTCTGGAATATCGGTGGGGAAGGGGGGGTCATTTTTCTAAATTAGAGTATGTAGTCCTGCATTGACAGGCCCAGTGCAATAGCTTCGACTCCTACATTTTCCCGTCCAGTATCCCTTCTTTGTCTCTTCCCACATTCTGCACCTAACTTGGCTCCGGCTCCCGCTTTGTCCATCGTCTGTCAGACAATTATAGAGGCCACTCTTCAGAGTTTTTTTTTTTTTTTTTAAGGGCATTACAACCAAAGAACTTTTCTTTGTTACAATTATTGCATTAAAGAAGGGTAAGGTCACGGCCGGCGCCAAGCATTTAACCGCACAGTAAAATCTCTTCCTGTCCTAAATTCTGGTTGCCCCATGCCTAAGAACTTCTGAACTGCTATCCAGTACCTCCGCTAAGTTCTAAAAATTTTGGTATCCCTAAATTGGATTTCATTCGCAAACCTAAAAAGGCAATGCTAACCGAGGGCGAACTTAAACGTTATCATAATACTTGACCCAAATTTCTACAAACCACTTTAAGTATTCTAAAGGACGAGGCTACATGTCAAGTTTAAATAATCTTATGTAATCATTAATCACTAAACTATCGAAAGCAAAAATTTTACAAGCTGTTTAATTACTGCAAAATTCAAGATCAGTTTTGATAGCTCTTTTATTTTGAACATGAAAACAAACTTTACGTTAACATTTGTTATTTTCAGTGTAAAAAGGGGATATCTAAATGCCCCATGACGGTTCTGAAGATCATTGCACGTGGGAAGTGATGAAGGTCGAACCATGATGAAGATGATGACAAAGGTAACTTTGCTTACGAATTGCAAGATATAGTAGACGACACAAACAGCTGTTTCAGATGATTTAAGGCCTGGAAAGTAACAGTGCGCAACAATAAGAGCAGAAATGAAAATAGCTTATCAGATGTTGGTAGTGTTTTATCTTTATGTATTTTTATTGGAATATAGGTTTCTACTACTGTGATAGTGTCCGGCAGTTTATCCGTAAGTACTTTACATTTGTTACATTCTTACTGCAATCGAGTCCTCCAGAAACTAAATTATTCGCCTTATTTTTCTCTCTCGATTTTCGATCAAAAATATTTGTAAAAAAAAAAAAAATCTGAAAATTTTCAGATTTTATATTACCACAAAAGGCGCTTCTTTTTTAAATTCTGTGTGTTACGTTTATTTATTAAATATCACGTTCTTCGCACTTAAACTGTAAAATCAGTTCAACAGCAATATCACAAAATAATTTAAAAAGAGCATATCTTTAGAATTTCCGATACACAGTCTCGCGAACTGGAGATAATTCTTTTTTTTTTTTTTTTCGTACAGTGTTGCCATTGCTCGCTTTGAAATAGTTGAGTTTGTTAATCAAAAATTTGTTTAAGTGTAACAAAATTTGAAACAGATAATAAAACAAATTCCAAATTGGGGTTTCCAGGTGCTCATATTAGAGTGGAAGATTACGTCATTCAGAATTTGATGGCTCTACGTATCGGTGTTTTATCACACTTGGAGAAACATACATTTATGTAGATTCTTCATTATTTAATTTCTTTAAATATAATGCAGGGCTCTAACATTTAACAACGTTAAAAGTTATATACGCCATTTCTAGTGATTCGATGCAAAATGCCAAAACGAAATTAATAGCCCTTCTGGGTTAATATCCTTTGGGCTAAAAAGGAGAGGAATACGCGAATAGCTACAGTAATTATTATTTAGTAATTACCGAAGGTGGTTTTCTAAATATATTAAGAAATAACAGCGGAATTCGTTTTCCATTAATAGTTTTAGATTTCTTTCAAATTTTTTCTACTCCTCTCCTTTTTATTAATACTAAATTAGCAATTTAATATTAAATAATAAATACGCATGTAAGATTTTTATTAAATCTTAAATTAATTCATCTAAATGGAGTTTCCAAAGAGAACGCCCTGCTATGGAAAGGAAAGTAAAAAAAAAAAAGTGAAATATCTATTTTTGAACCAGTGCATACTTGTTAAAATATCCTGACATTTTAAGGCAAAAATCAGATCCGTAAAAAATTATTATGAACTATTTAATGAAGTTAACAGTTATTAGAACATGAGTGACTGAAATTAAGTAGTGAAACGCTTTTATAGTTTTTAAGAAGTTCTGTATGTACAGCATAAATATATTTTAGGAAATAATTATAAGATAATACAGCATATTAAACAGGTTCATTTTAATTGCTTAAAATTTAACGACTTTTGTTCAACATGTATATTTGTACCTGTAAGATGTTTCTTTGCATTTTGAGGAAATGATTGATACGATGTCGTGTTATATGTTCAAGACCATATTACTGTCCTCATTATTACATTTAAGGATGTGATAACCTAGAATGTATCTATAACACATGTAGATATATTCTTCCTTTATAGTAGAGAAATAGAAATTGAACATAATTATTAAAAGTACACTTAAGAAATAACAAGATTCGCAATATAGATACTGTAATGTTAACAGAGATTTGTTAAAATATAATGAGATTTTTGTTTCCTTCATTATTTGTAAAAAACACATAATTAATTAAATAAATAAAAGCAAATTTTACGTAACTGATGCAGCTTTCTCACAGGGCCTGTATATTTGAAACCATTAGGAAACTAACATTATGTGCAAATACAGCGTAGATTTGCCTTGTATTGCGGGCAAACCGGTCCCTCTTCATCAGGAGCAAAGAAATTTGCAAGACTGGAAAGCGGTGGGAGTAACGATCCTATTTATAACCTACTATGCAGTAACGCGAACAAGTTTTTTTTTTTTTTTTTTTTTTTTTTTTTTTTTTGTTTGTTAAATCTACGCCAAACACAAGGTTGTTTCTTTACCATTTTTAAGTTTCAATACCATTTTTAAGAGTTGTTTCTTTACCATTTTTAAGAAATCAATTGAGTAGTTTGTGATTTCGAGGGCAAACCGGTCCCTCTTCATCAGGAGCAAAAAAATTTGCAAGATTGCAGTAAAGCGAACATTTTTTTTTTTTTTTTTTTTTTTTTTTTTGTCTAAATCCAATACCAAACACAATGTTGTTTCTTTACCATTTTTAAGTTTCACTTTTAGGGCAAGGTCAAGGTATATGAGCAAGGTCAGGGTATATTTTTAAGGCAAGAACTGGTCATCCAATAAACAAAGGCAGTCCCCCCCCGAGCTTGACCAATGGAGCTGAACCCCCCAAAGAATGTCTAAGGATCCTTTTTAGAGATTCTTTGGAACCCCCGAGGACAGACTTGACAGTTACCGTATGGACCCTGCCGACACTGAACCATGGATGTAGAAAGTAATTCTTACCTCCATGGACTGAACGGACCACACACTAAACACACTAAACTCTTTGATTTTAAACTTAAAATTACTTGCTTTTATTAAAATTACTCCAGGGCTCAATTTATAAAATTAGCAGTCCTGGAGCCCTATGGAAGACTGAGAGGAAGGAAAGAAAAAATTAATATATAAAATAGCTAAAAATTTAAATAATTAAGTAATTAAATTTAAATTAGAAATTTAATAAATTATTAGATTAATTTTAAATAGTTAAATAGAAAAAAAAAAGTATCGGACCTTGTCTTATTTGAGACATAGGGTGGAATTACAATTCCAATAAGATACTAAGAAGCAGCTCAGAAGATCTCCGCCCTGATTATACGTATAATGTACTATGCCAAAGGATAGCAGGTACCACACACTCTTTGCTGCGCACCAAGAAAAAAAGATAAAACGATTAAAGATCGATTAAGGAGAATAGTGAAAATTCTAGAAACAGTATGAAGATATGGTAAGAAATTTAACGGGAAAGTGTAACTTTGATAATAAAGAGAGAAGAGTTGAAGCCTTTTGTCATCGCGATATAATTCTAGCCGTTAAGTAGAAATTTTCCCTGAATACAGCATGAGAATAAACATAAGACTTCTCTGTACAAGTGGCAGCAGTGGCTCCGCCGTTTGGACCAAGGACCAAGGCATTAATTATTGTTACGGAGTACCTTTGCAACTTAATGCAATAACCTCTACATCTTCGTTGATGTTACATCATTCAGAAAGTTTACAGGAGCTCTAGCGTGGAACGTGCACAACCAGTGTATCACTTTTAGTTCTTTGAAAAATACAAAATTTACCCGCTGTCATAAATTCATTGCATATACTGGAGCTTTCTTTCCTTAAAATTCTCAACCTCTGTGCAATGCTTGAGAGTGAGGGAAAGACAGGCCTGCATTCAGAAGCTAGAATTAATTTCTAAGGCATGTTTAACTATTAAAATAAAATTTATGATCTAAAATTGTAATTCACTTACATGAAATAAGGGCCGGAGCCCTTTTATTTATGGCTCCGGTGCTCTCCGGCTGAAATAATAATTTGTCTCGAAAACTGGGAAGTACCGGAGCTGGACTCCGGGGCAATTTAAGCTCTGGATTACTCAGTAAATAAAAGTTATATACC